CTTCCGTGGCCGAGGGGGAAGTGTGTCGGCGGCACAAGCGCCCTGAACTACATGGCATGGAATCGCGCTAGCAGGGATGATTACGATGCCTGGGAAGCTTTGGGTAATCAAGGTTGGGGCTGGGATTCTCTCCTGTGAGTTTATGCTTGTTTTATTGGATGCGATGCCGAAGCTGATTCGTTTCCGTTATGTAAAGGCCCTTCTTCAAACGCTCTGAGACATTCCATCCTCCTAGTGAGAAGCTCCAGCGCGAGTTTGAGATTGCTCATGATGCAGAGACCTTTGGTGATTCAGGTCCCATTCACATCTCCTACCCAACCTCGTATTCACCATCGCACGCGTTATGGCACAAGACGCTTAATGCGCTTGGTGTAGAGACTAACATATCCCACGTCGGAGGCTCAAACGTCGGCGTTTGGACATGCGTCAACGCCGTTGAGCCGAGCGCCGCCCGAAGATCCTACTCGATAGACTACGCCACTGGATCGCGTAACCTGCACATCCTTACCAACGCCACGGTTGACGAGATTCTCATTAACCAAGCCCTCGTAGCCACTGGTGTGCGCTTCACCCACGGTGGCGTCGAGTATGATGTTTCAGCTAGACGCGAGGTTATCCTCTCAGCCGGGAGTGTCAAGTCACCGCAGATCCTTGAGCTTTCGGGTATAGGAAATCCCAGCGTACTAGGTAATGCTGGTGTGAGCGTCAAGGTTGAGAGTCCGCAGGTGGGGGAGAATCTGCAGGAGCATATTAGTGAGTGAGAAGGTTTTTGGGATCGGCGTTTTGCTAATTTGCGTTATCTAGTGCTTGCGACGATCTTTGAGGTTGATCCATCGCTCGCTAATCGGGATGATCTTGTGAGAGATGAGAAGCTTGGTGCCGCTGCGAAAGAGGAGTACGATACAAAGGCAGGTGGGCCTTTGACCGTGTTGCCTGTGTCTCTTTGCTACGTCCCCTTCGCTCATTTCGTTCCAAAAAATACTCTTGCTGGTCTTCATGAAGATGCAGACAAGGTATCCGTGTTTGACTCGGACAAGCAGGATATTCTTCGTGAACGTCTTGATGGAAACTCCAAGTTGGGACAAATTGAGTATATCTTCGACTTAGGTAACTGGAACCCTAACTTCAAGGGTGAAGAGGGTAAGAAGTACGGTACTATGCTGCAGATCTTGCAATATCCCTTCAGTGTTGGGTCGATTCACATTCAACCAAGTGAGCACGCTACAGCTGAGGATGCACCCGCCATCGACCCAAAGTACTACGAGGGTCCCCATGGAAACCTCGATATGGAAGCTATGAAGCAGTGTCTTCAGTTCGTCGATAAGATCGTACACACAGCACCTCTGTCAAACATAATCCGCTCCTCAGCATCCCCTTCCGCAGCAGCTCTCAAGGATGACAAGCTCTTAGGAGACTGGATCACGCAAAACACTATCACTGACTGGCATCCTGTCGGAACATGCGCCATGGGCGGTCGTGCTGGTATCGAAGGCGGTGTCGTTGATGAAAGGCTTCGAGTCTATGGCGTGCATGGCCTGAGAGTTGTTGACGCAAGTGTCATGCCGCTGCAGATCAGTGCGCATATCCAAGCTACTGTCTATGCTATCGCTGAGAAGGCGGCGCATATGATTATTGAAGATGCGAGGAGTGCGGATAGGGAGGGCAGAGAGTTGCTGACGAATCAGGCTAGACTGTAGATGAAGTTAGTACAGTAGATAAGCAGTATAATATTGTCATGTGCGAGTTCTTGATATAATCTTTAAGTGAGTGTGACTTCAGTCGTTGCGAAGCCATGCTCGAACGATCGCTCCAATGGCTTCGGGCTGGTGATAAGGAGACATATGTCCCGCTTCATCAACAGCATAGAACCTCAACTGGTCATTCCCCTTCCAGAACCCTCCCTCCTTAACATTCCATCCATCAGCATCAGAAGTTAATTCGCCGTCCTTATAATACCAGGACTCAAAGCCAAGTTTCCGATAGTTATCCTGTCCATTCCATCGCTGTTGGTTCAGCATGCGCATCTGTCCGGGGGTATTACTATAAATTTCAGCGGGCTGCTCGAGTAGAGACGTGTTTGGAGTGCTTACATGATGATATCATTGTTGCCATTGATGAATAGAACTCGTATACTTGTTTCATCGAGAATCCACGTCAACTCCCGTGTAACAGGTATATGAATATTCTGCGCCATATCCCAGCGCTCATTGGTATCAAAGTCGATGAGAGAAAATGGAAAGTGGTCGAATCCAAGTCTCTCTTGGACCCATTGGCGATTCAAGAACTTCCACTCCGGTCCGTGGTCCATATTCGAGCACAACGGAGGCTTCTCACACGGGTGTCGGTCTGCCAAAAATCAGTATACTTTACACCACTCGTGATGCGATAAAAGCGGAATACTCACTGTCATAAGGATCCCATCCACCGGGTACGACGCCTTCCATAAAGTACTCCCCCAACGTCTCCTCACAAACCTCATTTGCCGCCTTACAAGTCTCAATATCATAAAAATACCGACACTGACTCCCCAATTTCTGACATTCGGGTATCGCAGCAAACATATTCTCACAGGCCGTGCGGTTCATCAAAGGATATTTCCGTCCATCGCCAGCCCAATTCTCACAAAAGAAGGTATAATATCCGATAAACTGCTGCGTCGCGTCAATATACCCATCAACAATAATCGCAGATGAGATTTTGACCCGAGGTTTGATCCCGCGCTCTGCATTTTCCCGTTCGTGAGAGACGATATGTTTCGTGTAACCGGTGACGTAGTGGCCGCCCATGGATTCACCTGTGATGTGCCATGGTTTTCCAGCGAGGTTGGGGAACACGTCGTGGGAGAATGTGGAGAGGAAGGTGTGCACATCTTTTGCGCCTTGTTCGAGACTGACGGCGATTTTGTTTCGGTCTGTAATTTTGGAGAAGCCGACGCCGACGGGTTGACTATCAAGTGTTAGTCAGAGCGGCGGTGCTGGTTTTATGACTTACTCAATGTAGACGACGTTGGCGTGGTCGATCCACGAGTATTCCGCGCGTCTTGTTGAGTTCCCATCTGCATTCACAGTACAGGGGCCACTACCCATGAACAATCCCATCTCTCCAGATGCGCCTGGTCCGCTGACGCCTGCGTTAGTTTGGTTTGGCTTGGCGAATCAATGGCGACTTACCCGCTCATCCATAGTAGCAAAGGGTCAGTCTCTGGATTATTACGGCTCTCAAAGTACCCTATGTTCAGTCAGTATACTGATATCGGCTCGGAACCGGGGTGCGGACAGAAGAACATGGACTTATCCTCCGTCACGTTAACCGTGCCAGTGAATTGACGGGCGCCCGCATCGCAGAGGTTAGAAGATTGTTCACGGACAGTGAAAGCAGGTTTGGTTACTGATTCATCTGCCAACGGCTTTTGATCTTGGGCGGCGACATGGCTAATCGTCGCGAGGAGCGACCCTGCAACTGCAACTGGACCAAGCCACATCGCGATTTGGTGTTGAGATGGTGAACTTTGATGGCGCTTGAGAGAATTACTAATGCTGACCTTGGCCAATCAATCTTTCTCTGGCCATGGTGGGGCTGGCCAGGTTGGTTGCAGATAAGGATAAGATAAGGACTTATGACCGATTCCTACCCTGGATGGTTGTGTTTATGTGCTGCGGCGCGATTTGAGCATCGAAATTTGCAAAAGAAGCTATCTCAAAAGAGAGAGATCTTTTCTAAATTAACTCTAATCTGATGTGCTAGTATTTCTGTTCCTCCTGGGAGAATGCGTGGTTTGTTGGGTTGGTATATGCGCAAGGTCGTTTAGATAACGTCTCAAAAAGCTGAGAACGACACTTTTACCCTCAACCTAACTCCAGTCTTGAAATGTATCCCCACTTTGCGCAGGGCAGGCAGCTATGAAAACTCCGCTAGATGGAGGAGATTAGTTATGATGTCACTATCAAAGCGAAAGCGAGCATTTGTCTAGGGCATAGTGAGAAGAAGTGACTGCTCACAGGGCTAGATGCTTCTAGCGCGACGCGACGTAACGACAAGCGCGGTCTAGACTGACATTCAACTCACCAAATCTGGTGTTCGGTGCTCACTGCTCAGTCTCCCTGAGGCAAACTGCTCTCGTGTTTTTCACTGGAAAAGAAATAAGTAAACAGACCATGAGGGAATAGAACCGCGTTTGGACTACCAGCTTGTTTCCTCAAAACCCAATACCAAATCAATAGGTTTCCAGCCAGCAAACTAAGATCGTCGCCGTGAGCTTTGTCTCCGAAATCTAAGACAAGAGCGAAGGAGACGAAAACACAAGCGGAAAATAAGCAGTGGATGAGATCAAGATCTTTCCCGCCTCTCCCAGAATACCAAACAACTTGCCACTTCTTCCTCCGTTTCCTATCTAAATTCCGACATATCAAACGCCACTCCAGTAAACACCGCCCCAAGCTGTGACTCAAATCCAGCCCATCCTCACACTCCGGAACCTCAGTAAATTTCTCGAGCGGATGATTGGCCACCACAGCTAGGGCCTGTCTCACAAAGTTACACCAAACGAAAATATCGAAATGACGACTACAATGTTTTGCCCAATTTCCCGCATTTCACCTCTACCGCCATTTTTCTCTCCAGGAAAAGGAACTCATTTTCCATTTTATTGCCATGAGCCGCTCGTTCATGTTGAGCAGTGGTGGGATGTGAGAAGTGACCGACACTGCTGCCAAACGTCTTTGACCGGGGTTAGTCACACTGCGGAAGCGCCTTTGTTGACACCTCATCAGACAGGCAGAACTCTGCACCTGCATCACACTTCTTTGTTCACTTCTGTCATCACTCACTTTATAGCGCGATTCTACCGCTTGACTATGCTAATATTCCTCTTCCTCTCGCTTATATCCCATCTCTCTCTCTCTCAACTAAACTCAACTTCTCCTTTTGGCAATCCTGCCTTGGATAGCAAACTTTTGATCCATTTTTGCCTCAATAATCGCGACACAGCAATCTCAATAGTAATGTCTAAAAAAGGTGAGATCACCGCTCGGACTGATTTATAATCCTTTTAATGACTCTTCTCAGTCATCGAGCCATATCTTTCTCTCATGGCCACGCCAGAGGAAGAATGTATGTTGACTCCACCTCAACGTGTCAACTTTTGCTCACAAATCAAAGTCGCAGAAGACTATGACGATTTGATTTTCATCGGCGCCTACGACATCCAAATAGAATCTCACATAGAGAACAAGAAAACAAGCGACGTCTCTTTCCGGATAAAATTCAAGTTCAGCTCAACCGACACCTGGTCTCGCGGCTGGGCCGAAGAAATCGATCTTCACAAATACTATCAGGACATCGTCCTCAACTACTGGCGCAGCATCGGCGGGCGGTGCGAAGCCACGGGGTTCAAGATGTACAAAATACTCAGAATCATAGCGGAGGAGAAGAACAAGTATCGCGTGCAGTGGGTTGGCTATAATGCGGAGGAGGATACAAATCTGGAGCCCAAGAAGAAGGTCTGGAGCATCGCGCCTAAAGCCGTGCTTGCGTGGAAGACTCGCGTGGTGGAATAGGTTGCACGGCGTCGGGCATGAAGGGGCAAAAAAGTGTTTTTTTTGTTGTGATTGGTGGCGCCAGGATACACAGCGTTGACTTTTTTTGAGCGGGCGTTTGGTAATTTGTCATGTTGGAAACATCATACCCATAGCGTGTTTTTTCTCTTTTGTTTTTACAGCCCTGCGCAAGCAAAATTTAGGTGCATCAATATAAATTCCAGAGCTAAGCAATGGCGCTCTTGAATATTCAATTCACATCTCAGTTACTCTCTTGCTGATCATTCTGTCCCCTCGTGATTTCCACCAATACCTCTTCTTGCTTCCTTGCTGTATCTGCCAACTCCTGCGACAGTTTGCGCAATGATGCCAAATCGATCTCAAACTGGGTCAAAGCCTTGCGATATTCCGCAGAAATGTGGAACATATCTTGATCTGATTGCCGATTACTCAGCCTGCGTCGCGCTTCAGCCACCAACGACTGGAGTCTATCAACCATCTCGTTATGTTTCGATTCTACACCCTTTTTCCTCGCATATTGACCCAAGAACAACGTATTGAAATTGATGAGCCTTTCTAGTAGTGCGGAAGCGGATCTGGTGGTTTGTGGCTGGATTGGGTTGGCCCTGGTAGTGTCGGTTTGAAGGCATGGTTTGTTGATGTACTGAATGGACTTGCAGAGGTTTGTGATTGAATATTTTTTGATGTATCTTTGTTATCGAGACACTTGGGATGTTAGACCTGGTTAGGTCTTTTATCTATCCAACGGCTTGGAGCCAGAACAGTGTTGACAATCATGCATGTTGTCAGCACCGTCATGCAGCAGTTACTCACTCTTGTCATACAACGTGTATCATTGTCCTCTTTATCGAAAACTCATTACGGAAATCAAGTCTCGCATAATATCACCCGAGAACTCGATAGGCCGTATGCCCCAAAGAAGTATTACTGTTGATCAATCTCGTCATTGTCTTCACACAAAGCTCAGAGTCACAAAGCCGACACATTGCCAGACTCCGCGCCAAGGGAGGGTATGTCACTGCACCCTGCCCGTCAACAGCGCAGTGGCATACGAGAGAAATCTCAGACACAGAAGTGATTGCTTGCACGCGAGGACAAGCATCTGTGAACAAGCTACGATAGAGAGAGTGACGGGAATGACTGCACGTCAAATGAAATTCATCACTGCGCATGCTGTGAGTGATTGAGACCATTTGCGCTGCAACTAGCAAGTGCATAAAACGCATAAGGCATCCCGAGTTTTCTCAGTCAGTTGTCAACCAAAGATACAAACACCTCCAAAGACAAATATTTACTCATCTCTACAATCACGGAATTCACCAATACACCATGCCTTCGCGTCGCCACCGTAAGGAATCCAATGATCCACAACTCAGTGGCCCACGCAGCAACACAGAAGGCCCAAACCAACAGGAAATCAAGAATCTGAGTGAAAGACTGGCTGCTATACGGCTGGAGATAGAGCAGACGTTCCTCTTGAAAGAAGAGAGGGTGAAAAGAGCGAAAAGTCAATGGCAGCGAATAGAGCGCATGGAACGCGAGAGACAGCCAAAGGAGGAAATAGAGAAGGAGAAGAAAGAATTGAAATACAGGGTTGCTGATATGGAAGGGATCATAAAGGTGTTGGAACAAACTAGAGTTGGGGAGGAGGAGATATTTTTGAAGAGATGGCATCTTCAGCATAATGAGTGAGGGATTCGGAGAACGGGACAACAAGGAAGACACACACTGGGATCACTTGACTCTATCCCTGTTAGATGCCAATAATAATTTGATGGGATTTTGGGACGATTATTCATATGATATTGTCTTCAAATGGCAATGTAGTGACTGCCTCTCGGATCCCTGACACCACACAAGCGAACAAGGGACACGAAATGGAAATGGTTGAATAAAGGAGGAAATTAGGTGGCGAAGGAAATGAACCTCGACAGGATGATAACAGCAAAACTTGCAATTAACAGAACTTAGTTCATGCCTTTGTGATTAAGTCTCCGTCATTCGCAGCTGAGTCTCGCGGCGGTAGATGGCTGATAATTATAGGTTTAGCTTCCCAAAGAATCTAGTGCCAAACTACAGTAATGACAATGCCAGTGAAAACGCCAGTGACGAGCACGCTTCAGAGAGTTCTTCACTGCGCTGGCTCTGAGTGACCATCATCTAGTTATAGTCCGTCCCTACTCTAAAAGCCCTTAAAAGACCTCAGCCATCCCATGCTTTCTGAGTCTGCCATCGAACCAAGGTAAATCCAGACAGAAGACAACTAACGATCTGTGCAGTCGGTGAATAACAAAATAGACCATGTTCTGGAGTCGCCGCCGAATGGGATCCAATGCCCGACGATCCACCGACAGGCCTCGCTCTAGAAGGGCACAGTGGGAAATTCAAGAGCGCATCAGCGTGTTAAACCGAAGACTGAACAGCATACGTGCGGAGATCGATGAGATATACAGACGGCGAGACGAGAATGAGAAGAGAGTGAGAAGGGCGAAAGATGAAGTGAAACTACTGAAAGGTAAGAGGCGGCCAAAGCGAAGGGACATCGAGGAGGCCAAAGAAACGCTGCGCAGGAGAAACCGTGATTTTAAGGAGATTAAGCGTGTCTTGAAACAAACAAAGCGCGAGAAAAAGTCTCTGACCAAGAAGAGAGATCGTCTCAGCTTACGCGTCTAAGGGGATATGGGAAATGATGGGACCTACATTGCTTAGCTATTATCTAGTGATTTGAATCGCATCTTCGGTGAAACCCTGAAACGACCGAGATTCAATGTAGGAGCTGAATGACTATTTTGCCACTGTTGCCTTTTGTCCTGCCTCAGAGAAGGTACGACACGAGATCAGAAAGAAATAATAGAACAGGAATTCCCAGAACATGGGTGATCGGTTTGGCGCGTGAAATGACACACCGGAAAGCCAGAACTCGATTCGGGCATTGTAGTAGATTCGTGGTTGAGTACTATGTTCAGTGCCACAAAGTCGCCAGCGATTTGCGTGATGTACGGTAGTGGACTGGCCATGTTCAGCCAGTGTGTGATGATGAACAGTGGTTAATGAAAATGAACAGAAACTTGATTCTTGTTAGGGTGACTCATGGTTTTGGGTATAAATTCCGAACCTGGTTCACCCCTGTGGCAATAATCTTCCCCTCATCACAGCTTATTCGACCGGCTATCGAAAACCGGAGACATCCCTTGCAATCAATTTCAAGAGCAATTTAGTCCAGCATGTCTGACCAACGAGTGATTATAGTTGAGGTAACACCACCACGGGAGGAACATGATGAGCAGCATTTCTTAGAGAAGGAGATTGATCTTGCAGAAAGCAAAATCGAACGACTGCAAGACAAGAAGGATCGACTGAATGAAAGAATAGGTAAGCTTGATCATAAGACAAAAAGCCTAACCAAGAGCAATGAAAGATTCGAGGAAGTTCTGGACAGATCACAGCAAGAAGGAGCATCGAGAAGGGTCTTGGAGACCGGGCTCGAGTCGTTGAAACAAAGCAGGGAGACGTGTCTAGAGAACGAGAAAACGCTGCTTGAATTGGATCTCAAGGCTCTGGGGATACCCAAGAAGATACGGGAGTGGGAGGTTTACAGAGAGAAGCTAGAGACTAGACAAGAGGAGATGAGGTTTGAGGAGTGGATGAGACGTGAGGAAGGCTTGCGGTATCAGGATTGGAGGAAGAGCAAGTACACTCGAGACTAGATAGATAAGAGAAGCAGCTGTAGTTGACTTTGAGGGTTTTCTTATTGAATTTAACTTGACTAAGATCTAATAACGACCTTATATTTAGCCTTAGCAGCAAATCTGCTATTTTACCACTGTCACTTCTTGTTGCGCCTCTGAGAAGATCTAATAGGTGACGAGAAATCCAATAAAAGAATGAAGGAATAGGACGGGACTTGGGTTAAGATTTATGTGATTATTCTGACGTGTTTGACATGAGCTATTGGAACTACCAAGTATTGAATCTCGATTCGGTCGTTGTAGTGGATTCTTGGTTGAGTCAAATGTTCAGTGCCCACAGAGTGTAGCTGCTCGTGATGGGGACACGACTACCCAAGGGCTGTTCGTCACCATGTAAAAGCAGTAAGGGCGGATAATGATCGGCGAACAAGACCAAGAGCCATTGTGATTCATATTATGTGACGGATGCCCTCACTATAAGTATGCAAGGCTCGCTCCATAGGGGCAGTAAACTCATCGATTAAACAAGCTACCGGCAAGTTACAACAAGAGATACCACTTTTCAAGAATTTCAACAATCCTCAATTCAATATGTCCGGCAGAGCGATTTGTGGTGAACACAAGCTACGAAGGTGGGTGCCGGAAAGAGATCTCAACCGCGCGAGGGACAACATACATGACCTAGAGCAGATGATCATGGATACAAAGAAGGAAATCGATGAACTCAGAAAAACGAAGGAGACTCTAGAAGAGAACAATAAAAAGCTCAAGGGTGTCATCCGGCGACAGGAAGGAGAAGGAGCATCGCGTGAGGTGATCGAGAGTGCGGCTCTGCGATTAAAGAACTGCCAAAAGTATAGTGCTGATCAAGGGCTAAAGCTGAATAGGCTAAAGGACAAAAGATATGAGTTGGAAGCGATAAAGAGGGAATGGGAATCTTGGAGAAGAGATATTGAGGAGGAATGCAATCGGAGAGCAGTCTTGGAAGCCCAGATAAGGAACAAAGAGCCGCGGAGCTATGAGAGCTGGAAGAAAAGCAGCAATCATTCAGCGAGGTAAGAAGCCCAGGGCTTCTCCTTGAATCCAATCCAGTTCAAATCGAGACAAGGTCAATTACAGTTCAGGGAGAAGTGTGTTTCACAAGGAGGGCTCCACTTACAGCGCAGTGTAAAATGGCCTGGGGTAAAGGCGAATATGGCCGAGACAATACTGCCGGTATCCTGCAATATGTGCGCACTATTATACCTACATCATAGACAATGCAAGATAGGGAAAACAAAAATGTATTGGATATTGAATGAAGTACAAAATGATGACTTTGGTAGGATCTTGGAAAAAGAGGAACATCGTGGATAGGACAACAGCTGAGTCTTCCGCGACAACTACAATACTTCCTGAGGCTGATGGGCCCACAAGTTTAGGTCTTAGGCACTGATAAGACGAACGAATACCCAGTGGAGAGGGAAAATAAGTGACGAGAGTCACTGAATTCAACTAGAGGTTTCTATCGCTCTGTTTGTAGCGTAAAGTGCTGTGACTCTGTGTTGGTGCATATGATAGAGAACAAAACAGCCGATTCGCTGGAGATTCGCTAAGAGACACAGTCCCATGGCGTGGAACAAAAGAAGAGGTTAGTTTTGAGCGAGTTGTAGAAAGATAAACTGATTTGAAAAGGATCATGAGACTCTGTTCGAGCAGTCTTGTCAACGTAGCTACCACCTGGACCGTAAGTGACGGGCTGATCTGTACGACCTTCAGGTTCAGAAACTCCGAGGAGCTTCTTACCTCTTCACCTGTGACTTTCTAGAATGCCCAGTGAAGCAGTCAAAAAGGTGATGGTGATTAGTTGTAAGGAACTGAAACATCTATCTACATGATTCATCGCGTATCGCAGGTCACTCGTATTGAATCGAGACTCGAGTAGTACCGTGTACTGCTATATCAAGACGAGATTCCGGATATCCACCGTGTTGTGCATTAGATCTCTACCAACACATCCTCAAGTGAAGAACTACCAGCACGTAATACCATCACTGATCTCATTATCATCCTCCCCAAACGAAATCATGCTGGAAGACAACCCCCAAGAGAATAGTCCCTCGGAGAACTTTGCAACAGGCAATACGCCTCAGAGCCTGTATGCGAATGCAGCCACCGATATGATTGTGTATGAAGCTCAGAACGAGCCCAATTATGTCCCATCAGAGGTCGTGGCCGAAGATATTTCTGCATTCGTACCCCAGGACCTACCCGAGAATATGCAGGTGAACAATCAATCTAGACTTGAAAAGGGAAAGCCTCGGGAAAGCATTCCTCAAGATCATGTTTATGGCAATAATGTACCCTTGGCAGATGAACTAGAAAGACAGACTGGAAGTAGTGTTCACTTTGATGAGAACTCATCTACCAGACGCTCAAGAGAGAAGGAGCCCAGGAAAATGGACTCGCACAGGGGAAACAGTCATAGAAGAGAATCTCACAGAGGCGACTCTCATGGAAGGGAGCCTCGCAGAACGGACTATCACGAGAAGAAGTCTCACAGATCCGAGTCTCACAAGAAAGACTCTCATAGGTCAGGCTCTGACAGAAAGGATTCACACAGACCGGAGTCACGAAGATCGGACCCTCACAGGAAAGAATCCCACGGAAGAGACTCGAACAAGTCATCAAAGAAGGAGGACTCTCACAAGAAAACCATGATAGATGCTTCACCCGAATATGGGCGCATCTCGTTGAGCAAGACTATCAACCACTATCTAAACCGCACTCCGTACATCAGAACTCCGGTTGAAACAAAAAAGAGAGGAAATTGAGGGTAGACAGCAAGGCGCATAGGAAAGAGGCATAGTTACGGTGTGACTTAATACAAACAACATCGTTTAATGTTTCAATAGAAACTTCAAGCTAATAGGCTAAGAAAGCATGTTTATGGACCGCTTCTAAAACACGACTCTATCATCAATCCTGACTCAGTCGTGTGGCCTTATAACAAAGAGAGTCACTATTGTTCTAATCTCAAATTGCCAGTAAAACAGGACCTAGCATTTTGACTACTAACCATTAGCCGAGCGAGTGATTGAATACATACATGGAAAGAAAGCTGCACGAGCCAAAGGGTCTTTATGGTCCTTATGGTCCTTATGTAGACTTTGAAGTACAGAAATCTGGTATCGAGAACTGAGGCTCCAAAGCCTCTTCAATTCCAAGGAAATAGCGCTGATCTTGAGCCAGCGCCCACCACATTATACCAAGCCGAATAAAGTCAAAAGAGGGCAAATACATAGATTTGAGCTGAAAGGAGGATGGCTGCTAGTGGTGAGTTCTGAATGGGTGGTTAAACAAGTTTGGCGTGAAAGCGCTGTGTGTTTTAGCTCTGAACAAGACAAAGCCCCGTAACTGGTGGATGCTACGGTCAGCGAATAAAGCCGAGGGCAAGTAATGAAGCCTGGGCCCTTGGAGGAGTGAGATATACACAAAAGTTGTAAGGAAAGCCGCAGTGAACATAGAACCCAAATGGGACCATGGGAATTATATCTGAGCAAGACTACCTCGATTCATTGCCGTTGCACTCCAGTAGAAAGCCCAGCTTTTGCAACACAAGACCTATAAATAACCAATCCACTTGCTGCCCAACTAGTATACTATGATAGTTACTCGCCTCAGAAATACTATACACAGCTTCCAATCAAAATGCCTAACAGAAACTTCCCCCGGTTCTTTGATATTCCCGCGTTCCTAGCACACGGCAAGGCTATTAAGGAAACTAAAGCGAAACTCCAAACAGTCAAGTTTAAAAAAGAAAAACTCGGGAAAGATAGAGAGTATGTCGAGAAGGACATCGAGGAGTTAGAGAAAGGTGGCAGAAATGATGGGGAAAGGGATATGGAAGAGAACATCACAGAGCTTCGAACAGAGTTGCAAAAGCTAGATAACAAGAAACAGAAATTGAATCGTGAGAAGGACAAACTTAAGGAAACAAAGAAGAGGCACCAGAAGGCAATGGAAAGGCTACAAAGAAGATAGATATCTGGGATGTTATGATGGGTAAAATCACAGATTTGAAACTTATAGCCTAGCATAAACAGAGAGCCTTTTAGTACTTCATGGTGGATTTGCTTCGGAGTATGTCTGGGAGTGAAAAGCTATATATTGTGTTGATAGAGGTGAGCGGCCCTCAAAATATCGCAATACACATATATAGTGTGGACTTCCATTTTCTTCAGAAGGTGGCTTGTTTTTGCCAGTCGAATAGTTCAGTTCACATCAGCAGTGGCTTCTCAGAAACGCGGCGGCAATGAATACAACGAGAATCTGACCACTGGTGTTGCTGGAAGGTCATTGATTGAGAGATTGACAGCAGCCGATGGACTACACGGTGATCATTTGTCCCCGAGGAACCTGCTTTTGGGGAAATATTGGCAATGAACAAGAGCTGGAAATAGGAAGTCGTGAATCGCAAGGATTCTTAGGAATAAGTTGAAGTTTAAATGAAAGCCTCCCTGGCCGCTCGAAGTTGTACATCAGATCTCGTATCCAAGCTTCCACTAAAGAACCCGCTGACTTCATCGAAACCCACGACTTTGCCCGGTACCCATCTGCATCATCTTACGAAAACATGGCGGACAACGAAACTCAAGAGACCAATACAACTGAGAATCGAGTGCTTGACGGATTATCGGAACTTGCACCTCAAAACATCTCTAAGCTTCTCCCCCAAGACGAGCGCGAGGACTCTGACTCTGACTCTGACACTGAGGAGGAACATACCCAGGAAGATGGGTCTGAAGAGAATGAGCCGAAAAGCGATAGAGCAAAAGAGAAAACTAGATCTGCGGTGGACTCGCACAAGAAACATTCATGCAAGAAGGAGTCTCACAAGAGGAATCCCAGCAAAAAGCACTCTCACAAAAAAGAGTCACAGAAGAAACACTCGCATAAAGACAACAGTCTTTCGAAAATTGACACCAGAAGCTCCATCATGGGCTTCAGTGATGTGTATACGGTCCGAACGTTGAAAGTCATGTGGAACAAAGGGTTCGCTGACCTCAAAGATGTCCAAGAGAAACTGGAAAAGATGGACAGGAAGAAAAAGAAGTTAGAAGAGGAAGAAAAAGAGCTCAAGTGGCTTAATGATCTTCATGAAAGTGTGAAGAAAAAGCGATCTTGAGATTGATCATGGGACTAGGTTGAGGCAGCAATTGGGTTGTTGCTGATGCCAGAAAAGAACTTTGACGTTGAAAGTCAGCGCATCTCTTTGTATTTGCTTAACTAGCGATTCTCGAATAAAGAAGGTATTAATCATAATCCGTTTCTGTTTCCTTGTGATGAACCACTTTCCCGCCGTCCCCAATTCCGTCTTATGCTGTTAATACACCAGCGCCCAGCATCTCGACTACTAGGGCAGAACCTCCTACCATTGAACCATCAACTTCCTTCCATAGATCCTTATCCGGATCGAGACCCTTGTTCAACAGGTAGCGAGTATATCGTTGACATCTTCCTTTGACAGCATACCAGAGTAACTCCTTGCCATGCTCACTAATGAAACCGAGTTCTTCTACCAGCCTTTCTGTCATCAAGATTGCCATGTCATCTTCCCGAGCTAGTGCCGCCGTGATAATCGCATGATGCCTCGTCCATCTTCGAACAAGTGGGTCAGCGCCGCCCTCAAGAAGCAGCGTTAATGTTGGCATGTCTCCTCGTATGACAGCCATCTCCAGTACGTCAGCACCTCGGGCCCCAGCCTTGTCTTCGCGGAAAACGTTTTTCTCGATGAAGAAACTGAGGATATCGTGTTGAGATGCACCCACGGCGACATGCAGAGGCGTTTCGCCCCAGTCGTCGCTATCATCAATGTATGCTCCGCTATTAAAGAGCAATCTCACGATATCGAGATACCCTCTTCGCACTGCCAGCAACAAGGGAGGAACATCACCTTTCACATGAGAGTTGGGATCGACACCTTGATCCAGCATGAGCTTCACCAGACCATAACTGCCAGTCGTTACCGCAAAGTAGACAAGATTATCCCCAATCTTGTTCCTGCGGTGAATATCAGCACCTCTCGCCAGCAGCAGATGCACAATATCCCAGTACTGTTTCCGGACCGCTGGAAACAAGGCAGTCTCGTCCTCGTGGTTGATGGTGTAGTTGATGTCAGCGCCTTGCTCGAGTGATCTCTCTACCACTGAAATGAGGCCCTCTTCAGAACCCCATCGAAGCGCGTTGCATCGCCAGTGCGCATCCTCACGATAGACATGATCGTTGAGAATGAGGTAAAATCGTTTGTTGGACTGGCAGAAGGCGTTGAGGTCAGCCCGCGCTGTCAAATTCTGTACGATAAGTTCGATGATCTCTGTCGCTAGGTCTTGGAACAACATATTGACAGACTAGTATTGCGATAGATGAAATGTTTGGAATGAATAGAGGGAGGAATTAATTCTTTGGACTGCTGAAGGATTTAGAAAGACTGACGTGAGACTTTGGATCGCCGACTTCCGATGGTCAATGGAGGATCGGGTGATGGTGAGCTTACGTGTTTTCTCACATCAAGTACGCGGCAGCATCAATAGAGCTTTCAATGATTAATTATGAGAATCAAATGGTTGGAATGGAGAATATTGTTTGTGCCTCGTCCGTCATCATCAATTTATACTTTCTCTAAAGTACGACGGGACAGGAAGACTTATCAAGTGGGCGTTGCTTGGCGGCTGGCTGATTTGAAGTTATTCCCAAAACTGCTAACTTGATCCTTCGCCCTCATCGAATCTCATCATGGTTGCTGACCACTCCAAAAGCCCGGAGGGACCAGTCATCATCAAACAACTACCTCTGCTTTCTTCTTCATCGCTTCAACACATTTTGAGCATTCCCTCCAATCCATATACCCATCTCTCAAATCGATCTCGATTTTCCATTTCGCTCGCGGAAACTTCTTCTTGTCGTCGTAAGGCGTCTCGCTCTGCTTGTATCCAATCAAGTAGTCGCATTTCTTCTCGTTGCAGTAGTATTCCACGAAGGTGGTAGGACACATGTTGACGAACTTGGTACCTATGTCGACTTCTTGGGGGTACTAGATCTGTCCAATGGCTTTATTTCGAGATCTACAAGAGAAACAGTGCCGTATTTATGCCCAAGAGAACTGACTGCCCATGATTCGAGCTGACCACAATAGCTACACTGAATAGATTTCGTACAGCCCTTCACTCGTGAATCTAGAAGACACTGGGCAGAAAATATTTCTGGTCTGTTGATAGAGTATTTGTGACCAACTCCTTAATTCCCGTAGTGATTCAAGTCACTTCTTCTCCTTCCGTTTCTTCTTCGCGCAAACAGAACACCATATTGGGGAGAAGTACTCATTTACTATTTTAACCTCAGACTTGCATTTCTTCCTGTGCCGTGGCGTCTCGCACGGCGTCACAGTAGTATCGTGATGGCCCAGGGCCCAGCAATCTTCGCATTGATATCGGATGCTTACTGTCTTACACATGACGGCAGTGGTAGATATCACAGTGGGGGGCTAGTTGTTACTTCCTATGGTTGAGGACTTGTTTTATGGAATTCTTTTGAGATATAGAGTGTCAAAAAGCGAGCCTCTGGCTGGATTTATATACTGCTCGCTAGGCTGTGAATATGCCCACGTCTCGCCAATAAGAACTCGATATGTAAAACCACGCATCAAGGCTCAATGACTGTCCAACTCTTAGTATCACACGATTGTATTTATTAAAAGATGTCTTTAATCAAAATGATAGAGAATGACCGGCCCGCACTTCATTCCAGCTATCAACTAAAGTCCTCATTTCTCGCCTTGGTTCTTCTTCTTCTTCTCCTCGCACTTCTGGCAAAAGTCAGAAGATATATAATCAGTCCTTTCCTCAAACTCGGCAGTGCATCCTTTTTCCATATCCCCTGGGTTCTTGCATGGCACCCCGTCTATTCTGAACCCGATCGTGTGGGCGCATACCTGACACAAAGATGAGGTGTGTATTGTTCTGCACATATTGGCCTCAAAATTGTATCCGTAATTAGCTTTCTTTTATGTGTTTCTGGTATCTTAGAAGTTTTAGCTTTTCCATTTCCTGGTAGAGGCAGCCTAAGGCCTGGTTTATATACTTTGACAGAGATGTTGTCACTGACAAGATACAGGGGATCAAAAACTCCATCGACGGTGATTTAGATAAGTCTACTATCTTCTAGAGTAAAGAAACCTTTCGAACCTATGAACCCACGTCCTCACATCTCATCATAACTCAGCCAGTGCTTTCAACTTCTCCTCCTCCTTCTTCCGAGCCTCCTCACAGGGGCCACATTCCTTATAGACGAGTGGGTCTTTCGAATCATAGTCTCTGACGCATCGTTCTTTGTCACAGAACTTGTCAACGGTCTCTGTGCTTATCAAATGACCACAATAGCCCCAGTATCTGATATACGTAGTAGTGCACATGGTTTGCTTATGCTTAATAGAACAAGAAGATTCCTTATTCCTAATGTAGATTTCGCGAGAATAGTTGAGGATAGTGGTGCTTATAATATCATATATTGTGGAGGTTTTGGGAAGATACATTGGGAAATTGCTGAAAGATTGGCTTATATACTTTCCGACTTTTGTAGGTGTATCACATTGGAGCTGGAGTGAAGGAGTCAACGTGATCTCGAAGTAATACAACAATTGGTTACCTACAGTGAATCACCTACTGGCGAGATGTCAAAATAGCCACCAGTAAAGACCTGCACGGATTCACAAAAGTTAAAACCGCACTGATTATGATTCACTGAATCAGTGTATAAACAAAAAAATGTGTATTTGATCAGCTTCTCCCTATACTGACAATATCCCTTGTCTAGGTTTCTTTGATCAAGGTTGCAGCTTTAGAACTCCATAGCGTTCTTCTTCCCCTCTTCCTCCCCCTTCTATCAAGCCATCCCGATTACCCTCGAGATAATTCACATGAAAATACTCTGTTCCTTGTAAAGCACACGGAACGAATTCTGTGCCTGAACTGATAGCATGGCCACAACAGCCTATATACTTTACTAACACGCTATCGCACATCTTGGACTCTACTCATAGTCTCGATGAATATTAAGTAAGGGATTTCTATATAGCGGATATTAGTGGCTTTGAGGCTTTTGAATAGTTCGCATGATTTGTAAATCCACTACCTTGACCTTTTATAGATGGCTATGATCACTTCTCCAAGGACAGGAATAGGAAAGTGGGGGTATTGATTCATGAAACAGGCGCCTTTTATGATATTGGATAGTGTCAAGGATTATCATAACATCTTCTGAAGAAGCTGTCGTCTCATGCCTGATGCTATTCATTACTAATAATAGGCGAACCGTTGTGAATATTGGACACCAGTGGCCATAATCACAGCGGTGTATCTCAAGGGAAACAAACGTAATGTGCATGAAGGTTACTGATAGACTTATTTCCTGAACCGAGACAAAAAATGAGAAATACTTGAGTTGATAGACCTCATAGCTGATGGTTTACATCACGCGCCGCAAACGCACCTCACACGGATAAGAAATACAACGGGAAAACACCCCTTATCAAGACCGGCCGAGCTTAAACTCTGGGGAGAACTCCATACAACGGTCCAGACACATCCATTCATCCATCTCTACTTGATTGCCTTCTTGAGTTCTGCTGCCTGGAGCTTCAAGATAGACAACCATTGTTTGCCGATATGAGCATACTCAGCAAATCCTGCCGGGTCATCCAAGTATGAGTATATGATGTCCCAGTTGAGTGCTAGGAGAGGACCTAGGATAGGAATCAGACCCAACCCCGCTCCGACGATCTGCTTGACAAAGTTCGACCATGCAGGCCTATCAAGAGGAGCATAAACAAAGCGAATCCCTTCATTTATCGACGTACAATTCTTTCCCTGTCTGTGGAAGTCTCCTGAACCCCATTGACTAACAGAGTTGTCTGCCACACTGAGCGAGGCTGCTTCTCGAAGCAGCCAAATAGAATCGAAGCAGATACACGTGCCATCAGCGCGGCGAGCGACCCTATCATCCAGAATGCACAGTGCTGCCATGATTGACAGGACATTCAAGCATAGAGCTGCTCCAGAGTAACCCAGTCCCCGGCCGTTGGTGATGTCTAAATGAATGGGTTCATTGTCCCAGTAGCTCTTTAGGGTCAGACCTTGTGCAGAGAACTTGTGAAACTGAATGGTTCCAAGTCTGCTGAAGCCTGGATAGCTAGAGTCCTGGAAGATTTAGGGGAAATAGAGTGCTCTGATGGGCAGCGTTGGATCGACAAAGATGTACTTATGGGACTTGATGTTGAAAGCCAGGTAGGCATTCTGGTCTGTTTCTTTGTACCACATGTATGTACTCTGCCCATCATTATGGACAAATGGGCTAGGTGAGTCGATGTATGTGTTGCCACTGGTGCCTTCAGTGTCATTGTAGAACACTGAGGTACTGGCAAAGGCCCCCAGGACATCTCTGAGTGGTGAACGTAAGTACTCAAAGTTTCCCCGAGGCCAGTTCGGCTTCTTGATCTTGTTAGAGTTTGAAGCTTGGTCATACACTCCATTTATGACAACCTCAACGATGAAGGTCTTGTAGAAGCCTGCTTCAGTCTGCATTCGCGCAGGAAGAGCAGATGTTGCCGTGTAGCCTATACCAGTGGGTGGAGAATAAGCATCACGAGTTTGTGGACTAGCGTCCAAGCTGTGATTGCTCGGGGATATTTTTGGTGGCTATTGTAGTGCATGACTTTGCTCAGCACCCGGGGGTTGTTCGATAGATGTATCGGCCATGGCGGAAGAAACAAGAGAGAATTGTTCTTAGATTGTGTGCTGATTACATAGTCTAGGTTTCCTCTGATCTCTGTACAGTAATGTATAGGTATGTTTCATTCTGACTAGATATTTGAGGGGCTTTATATATTATATGAAAAATACAGTCAACAGCTTTGCGTCAACTGTGCCGACACACTTGGGATTTGTGGCTGGCCGCTGACATCTTCTCTTGCCGTAAATGTCTTGTTCTGCATCTGAGGCCTTCCTTCAGACACGGCAAGAATCCGAACACCAATACCTGACGTACAAATGCGCCGCCATGTAGAACTTTTGTATTGCATGTACTCATACCGCTCCATCAGGTCTGAAATGTGACAGGAAAAGGGGTGGTGTGTCGGAACATGAACTGGCACATGTTATTCCAGACACAAATACACAAATACATATGGTGTGTATATAGCGACTCACTCTCTTCAGGATATCACATTCGTTATGTCACTCATGGCGAGTCTTTGGACGTCGGTTTCACTAGCTCAACAGGTTTTCGAACTTCGCATCGACAGTACCAACCAATAAATGGCATTCATTGTACGGAACTCGCCCTCTCTTACGTTTGTGGCTGTTGTAGAGGTACTGCAGAAAATCCAGCTGTTCTACGGTTACAAACTGTGTCTGGTTGGGCATCTTCTGGATTTGTGCTGAGGGCTAAAGTGAGGCAACTGCCAGGCACAGAGTCACAGATACAAGCTCAATTGTTCAACCATTTTAGCAATACTAATATCGGACTCACTAGTACAGCCGCTAGTTGGATCTGGTGGAAAAGGTGGCATTTCAGTGGCCAGAATCTAGCATCCTTACTACATAGTAAAAGACATGCAGATTCAGTATGCCATCGGTAAAAATGCTACTCAACGGACCATCCAGCAACGGGTGAAAACCAACGAGACCGATACACCGATTGGGAGAATGAGATGTTTCTTGGAGCCTTCGCTCCGACTGTAAGATGATTGACATGAGTTGAGAAGTAGCCTTTCCAATCAGCCTGTACATAAAGCGTGCCAGAGCTCTTGTGCAAGCTCAATGACTTGACATCAGCCCGAGGCAGATTCTTCTCATGAGAGTAAACTGGTTTGAATCCATGCATGAATGGCTGCTTCAACACTTCTTCTCCATGTAGAAATGAGGCAGAAGTCAGATTGAAGAGGTGAAGGTCCAGATCTGTAGAGATGAGAAGGTGTCGTTGGCCAGGCACAGGCGTTATATCATGTCCTCCATCCCACCATGAATCGTCCCATTCCTCGTTAAGCTGTTTGGGGGGACGAAGAGGCTCGACTTGAGAGGGCTTTCGAGAAAACGAACCGTCTCTATACTCATAGCGGTTCAGAAGAGCTGTTGAAGGGCATTTCCCTTGAGGAGGGAGGTCATTCCCGATGGCCCAAAGACTTTCCGTTACTTGGTCCCATACAAGGCTATGCACGGCAGGAATGCCATCAAGCTCTTGGAGAAAGCCTGGATATGGATTTGACGTACCCAAGGACGTGTTGACGATCTTGATGTTTCCTGTTGCTTCATAGGAAGTTGTTGCTATAGCGAGCTTCTCATCGGGTAGGGGCTCAATACCGTGAGTTCCTCCCAGACCGAATTGATCCAAACACATGCCAAAGGTTATAACCTTGTTCTTAGATGGCTCATCGGGACAATGGTTGATGACGACGACTGCATACGCAAAGACCGCCACGACGCTTCTACCGTGGTTCGCCCATTTGACATCTGTCACGGAGCCTCCATTCTGTAGACACTGATTGAGCTTCCTTGGTATGTCTTGGTTAACGAAATCGACCTTTGTCCATTCCCATGATACGTGGCCAGTAGTGTTGTGGATGCTGATTCGTGCAGGATCGTATTGGCCTGTGATAATCTCAAGAGAAGCCTCTTGAGGGTGCAGGATATGCTGCAAGCCATCGTTGCTTCCATTGGTAAAGATGAGATTGGTAGCAATCATGATGAAGAGTGCAATCTGAATATGCCATTGGAAAGCCGCCATAGCCATAGCTTGAGTTGCTCTGGAGCAGAAAATAAAGGGGTTTAATGTCAGATGAAAACTTGATGCACCGAATTGATGGAGATAACCGCTGGAAAAAAGAAACTATGGCATTCACCTGGCCTTGGTATTATTTAACGATGATTTGCATTCGTCAAAGTCAACTCGCATATAAAGTACTGGAGCCGAGCTGATAGAGAACTACGTAATAGTGTTGGAGCAGGATTGTCTTCTCAACTGTATCTGACAAATTATGAGACACGGGACGGGGAAGTGACAAACCATGGCACACGAGAGTCAATACGTGCATGTGATATACCTCTATATTAGGTAGGTGCAGAGTGGCCTAAGTATTTTAGCCAGAAGCATGACAGATCAGCTGGTGCCATCACATACAAAATGTGACAGAACCAGGGCACGGGAAATATGTCTCGGCTCTCTCACTTTCCGGTGACCGATGGCGTTATAGAGGGCACATCAATGACCAGAGACTGCGCCGATCCAGGACACGGCCGACAGTGGAGAAGATCATCGTTTTTCAGCTCAGCCCTCTCAGCCACTTTTAAGCAGCAGCGTTGCAGATCTTCCGAAAAGGGCGACACACAGGTCGACTCGATGTAGACACATGCTGTAATCGCAATAGGCACCCTCAACCAGTTCTGTCGACTGACGATCAATCCCCAGACGACTACCATCGCAGCTGAGCCCGGGCCGTGCCGAGCTCTACTGGTAGTTTGCGGCGCTGATCATTCGCTGGTACTGTCTAGATGCATTTCAGCTTCTGACGCTAGGTCTGCTACCCGTACTCCCGCTCATGTGATTTGTGACTTCTTCGATGGATCTCGATGATCCTATAGTTGCCCCTGATAGCGGTCGATCCGCCGGCTGATATGACTCTGTGGCAGGATTGTAATGGCTCATGTGACAAGGTTAGTAACCAACCATACAACGAGGTGGATGGCACGCAGCCATTGATTAAAGACAGCTGAGGTCTGTCTTTTCTTCATGAGATCTGCAATTCTGTGATGGCTTAGGTGAGCAACGTAGGGAAGAAAACATGACAGTTGCTCCACTTCAGTTAAGATTGTTGAAACCACGAGACGTGCTACCTCAATTAGTGTCGCAAGAAGCTTTAGATTTCCTTCCAGCCTTGACTAATTTGCAGCGGATCTAAATTTCGTGAGGTCATAACCGGCCGTTGATAGCCGATGCCATGCGTGTAGGAGCAAGGGGAAGTTATCTCATTCATTGATGAGCATGTCCGTAATTAGTGGAATTGGATATGTGTGTCAGCACGCTACGCGCCCCAAGCTCGTCCGAATATCCATCCGAAAGGTAGCGAAGGATCAGACTGTATGGCTTATCGCAGATATATCAGTGCGAAATCGGAGGTTTCGTCCGAAGAAGGATTCCGTGGCCATCGACTCTTACATATATAACCTCAGCATAAGCCGACCGATCATGCGGTACAACATCTTCACTCTCATACAATACCTAAAATGAATGAAAAAGACCAACAGCCAGTCATACTTTTTGTTCACGGTGCTTGGCATCGACCTCTCCACTACCGTCTTCTCATCCAAGCTTTCCAGCAACAAGGCTTCACAGTTCTTGCACCGCCTCTCGCAAGTTCTGGCTACGATGATTCTGTCGATGGCAAGACATACCACGATGATGTAAAGAGGATCCACGACGCAGTTCTGCCCTACATTGATAGTGGGAGGAAAATAATTGGTATTGGTCATAGTTATGGAGCTATCCCTCTCACCGTGGCGATTGACGGTCATAGTATTGCAGAGAGAGAGCGGAAAGGTCTTGTTGGTGGTTTCGGCTCTGTTATCTATGTGGCTCCAACGCCTGTCCTACAGAAGGGTATCTCCATGTATGAGGCTGCGGGCGAGCATTACAAGACGCCATTCTTTCATAATGTATCAGTAAGCCAATACTCGACTCAGCACGCCAAGTTTCCGAACTAACTATAAGATAGGATACACGTATGCCATTGAAGCTGGATAGGGTTAAAGAAGCATTCCTCTCAGATATTGACCAGAGCATCGCGGATGAGATTATCCCGACACTTTGCCATCATAGCAAGGCCCCCTTCGAAGTTCCTATCGTTTGCACCCCGGAAGACCTGAGGATTACCAAGACCATGGTGATTTGCAAGAATGACCCTATTTTCGGGAGGGAGATGCTTTTGGCCGTGGCGCAGAATTGGGGTGCTGACACTTTGGAGATCGAATCTGGACATAGTCCACATCTGGTTGAAGAGCACAGAAAGTGGCTTGTAGAGCTTGTGTCCGAAGAGAGCACGAAGCTATAAACCAGTGATCATGGTTACTAGTCATCTGATGATAGGATAGAAGATGTGGTGTAGTAGGACTGTAGGATACAAACTCCGCTCAAATTATGTCTTCCAACACGTCAATAAGTCATTTGATATACCCAACAGGAGCCTTAAGGCTTGAAAGAAAAGATGACTTCAGAGTGATACAAGCTTTTAGAAGATTTTTCCTATGCCAAAGTCATTTCCCATGTCATATCAGGTTCGGGCCTTTGGGGATGTATGCGTAGGTTCAAACCAGTGCTGAAACCAACGGTAAGAAGAGGATTATCCCAGATTTACATCCGACATCAATCACGAGAGGAATAACCGACTTCTATTTCGCCAAGAGAGTGAGAGCCAGTCAGCATTATCTCATAAGCCGGGGTAACATCTGACAATTCCGAACACCGGAGCAATCTGACAGGACATAATGCTACAATCTGACTCATATTCTTGCTTACCCACGTGATGCACCGCCAAGTTACGGCAGCCTTTCAACGAATAAATAGCAAGCTTACGAGGAGTTTGACTAGAACAGAGGTTTCCTGAGAATAATCATGGCTACCACTACTTCTGGCGATGCTAGTTCCACTATCGAGAACCTCATCTCCTCATACTCGATCCTCACCTCCCTAGCTCCCTGGCTCTCAACTCTCGACCTCTATCATCTCAGTCTAACAAGCAAATCAGCTTACGAGTGCATCCAATCGTCACCAGTGATCTTCAAATCTCTCAGTCGTCAGTGCCTCTGCGATGGTCGTGGCCTCGCTACACGTCAAGCCTATGCAAGTCCCTATCACCGAAACCGCATGGCGGGTCAGTGGACGCCTAGTCCTTATCTGAAAGACGACGAAGAGATTGAAGTACGGCTATACAACATCAAGTGCGATGAAGCAGGTGCTCTGCCATGTTTAAAATGCGGCATAAACATCTGCGAAGAATGTCGATGCTATCCTCGCGCAGCTCCGCCAAATTCGCATCCCAATCGGAGACCGCATTTGAGAGGCAGCGTCCAGCTTGATAACATTATGTGTTTGTGCGAGGAGTGTGACGCGAAAACTGAGAAAGAAGTTGAGGGGAAGTTCTTGAATGAACGATGTGACTGCGATATCTATACACGGTGGATTTGCGTCAGATGTGAAGAGGAGGAGCGTGAAACCGCGTGGAAGTACTTTGAGGAGCAAACAGAGTTGGATGGGAATTGGATTGTGAGGGAGGATATGGACTACGGAGATGATTTTGAGCCTACAAAAACACTTCCAGATCATGCGTTTGACCGAGCAGTGAGAACTCTAACCAGCAACATTGAGATAAGCTAACGACTCAATCCAGTTTTGGTGTACTTGCGGCAAGACAGTCTCGCAAAGAACAGTGCCGCGTTGTATCTGGTGCAAAAGGCGACATTTGCCAGAGAGCGAGTGGAACCAGGAACTTCAGGATATTGGCTCAAAACATCCTTTCTTTGACAACGTAAGTCTTCCAACCATACAGAGGTATCTTTTCTTATCGTTCGGGGCAGGATCCGGATTATCCTCGATGGGTAAGTGATGATGACAACAAGTATCCGACTCCTTACCCAAGGTTAGGGTATCTTCGGAGAGGGGAAGATGAAGAAACTCGACTCTCGTAACAGCGTCAGCAGGATAGTAGTTGTTTCTGTATGGCGTTTGGTCCAGTGAATGGTTACTTGAAACAGTCAATTAAACGCATTTGCTTTAGATTCAATGTTATACATCATCTGTTCCCTTCCAGCTCTGTGAACAGATCTCTCCCAAACTTGTCCTCAAGAAACTCCCTCACTTCGTGTGATGACGATTCTATCACATTCAATGACTCCTTACGGCTTACACGCTTCTTCCACCCCCCAGGCTTGAGGATGGCAAGACCGTTAAGGCTCGTCACGCGCGACAACGCAACATACTTCAACGGCTGCTCCCATGCTTGCGAAAGATCCGTCGTGACGTGAGTCAGCGTCATACCCTGAGACTTGTGGATACTGACAGCCCACGCCAGGACCAGCGGGAGCTGTGTTCTATATAGTATCGAGTAAGGCTCTGTTGCCCCGAGCGTGTTGACTAATACCCATGGAAAGATCGTGCGTGTAATACCGTTGTTAAACCTAACGATCGGCCATTGCCGAATCTTGCGCGTTTTTGCGTACTCCTGGATCAGATTCGCTCGCCAGTTAGCATAAGAACCGGCAAGGACATCTATATTCAAGAGAGTGTTCTTTTTCGTGTTTGGGAGCTTGGCAGGGTCGTGGGGTTCCCATCCGACGACGATGCCTTGGCTTCCGTTGACGAGGCCTTTCTCTGTATCAAGGTTGATCTTGAGCATGACCAGTGCATTGATTTTCATCTCGACGTAGGCATCTAATGGACTGTCTTTGCACTGCTCTTTAGTCTCCTTCACATGCGGGATATCTGAATATTGATCCGGTCGTGCGTTTTGCTTGCTGTGGGACCTGCTGTGGAATCTGCCGTGAAATACGCTGTGAGGCCTGCTGTGAGGCCCGCAGCTCTGAGATCTCCTGTTGGAGCTCCCGTTTCCTTTGCAGGAGGATCTCCCCTTCGGTCTGCTGTGGCCTTTGCTGCAGAATCTGTGATGGCTTCTGCTTTCCCATGGCTAGAAAGTTTGCCATCGTATTCTTGTTCGACCTTGGTTGTTGAGGGGGGGACTTCGCTTCGGCGCGGCTTGACGATTTGGATTTGGGGGCTTCATCTTCGTCGGACGAGGAGGGGATGCTGATGAAGGAGGACGATCGCTGTAAACGCTTGGGTTCGCTGGCAGATATCGGAGCTTGCGCATTGGTGTCGAGTTTCCTCTTAAGAGGTGCCCTAGTGGTGTCCCTCTGGGGGAAAGTTCTTGGGGCAGGACCTCTCATTCTCGGCATGGGAAGGGTACTAATAGTAATTGGCTAGGGTAGGAATGGATGAGGTAATTGTATTCGATGTCAGTGCATGTTTGCGGTGAATGGGGGACTAGGGGGACCCACATGGCACATAGATACGCGTGAGGCACTGTGATCGATCGATCGCATAGAATGAAGCCTTGGGATGGAAGAGGGGCGCGGGGAGCGGGACGTGACCAATTTAATACGGGCCACTAAACGCGTGGTGGCGTTACGCACGGGGACTGGCTTCTGAAACAGCCCGGACGCTGATTATCCCCGATGAGAAGAACAAGTACCGTATCCAACTCCTTACCCAAGCCTTGGCTACCAACGCAGGATAGAAGCTGATGATGAGGTTGTGAATGGATAGTTTGCGGAGCTTGAAGTCAATAATTTGCGGTTTGGAGAATGATCAGATCATAACGGGTATCTATTTGTTGCATCCCCTCGTAACAGACATGTCTGGCCGTTGAAACTGCTACGAATACATCGTCAGTCAACTCAAGCCATAGTCAATGACTACGAAACATGCAAGAGTATCAAGACCGCTCGAATATAATGTCATTCATGTATAATTACTAATACAAAACCCGGAGAAAAAGGAAACCATATTCAAACAAATGGCCCATACCGCAACTCTTTTTGCCTCTAAGATTCTTCATGTTCCTCATCCTCAAGCTCTTCAAAAGTCTCAGTACCAAAAGTGTCTGTAAGAAACTGACGGACCTCCTCGTTCCCTCCCTCCCCCACGGTTATTCCCCGCGCTTCGCCTTCTACCTTCAGACCCCGGAGACATGTCGCTCTCGATAGCGCGACGTAGACCTGCCCCTCTGCAAAAGCCCTACTCAGATTGACGATGACGCGTTCGAGAGTCATTCCCTGGCTCTTGTGGATGGTGATAGCCCAACCAGGTATAAGCGGAATCTGTGTTCGTTGCAGGAGGGAATAAGGCCTGAATTCACCAACGGGAGTGATCACACACCAGGGATAGATCGTGCGGACGCGCCCATTGCTGAAGCGCACGCGTGGCCAGACGTGATCTTTCTTGTCGGGGTGAAGCTGTATGTGCTTTGCAGTAAAGGCTCGAGCAAGGGCTTCCCTTTCGTTCGAGTACTCTCCTTGGAGTACAGGCAGTTTTGCCAGGTCGATTCTCTCCCAGCCGCAAATAACGCCTTGACTTCCGTTGACGAGTCCAGCTCTGATATCGAGGTTTACTTGGAGCATGACTTGCATTGTTTGCTTGAGGTTGACGAACGGGTCGAGTTGATGTTCCTTGTGCACAGCCAATGTTCCGTCTTCAAGACTTGCACTATACTTGTCCTTCTCCCATTTCAGTTTCTCATTCCACTTGTAGCCATCAAGGACTGTATACCGCTTTGGTTCATACTCTGTGATCTCTTGAAACTTGGCGTGATTAATCGGGTCAACCTCTTCTCTGGTGCAAAGGAGCTGTGGCGCATTTTCAACTTCACAGTCGTGATTCATGAGGAGGTCTATATCGTTTTCAGTGAAGGGGATCCCAAGCCGGCATTTCTGCAGGATTTTGATGAAAGTGGGGTCGTTCTGACGATGGATGTCTGTCAAATTGAAACAGGCAAAATTGGCCTCAGCCCAAGCATTGCTTCTGAAGGCCCATTTGTCCTCGTCAGCCCATGGCCCGTGTTCCCTGGACTTGGTACAAGTATGCAGGCCATCAGACTTGTTGAACTTGGTCAGGGCGCCGCAAACATAGCAGGGCTGAAAAGGTTTGACAGGGGCTAGTTGGCAAAAGTCCCCGGTGACGATGACCTGAATGCCGCCGAAGGGCAAATGTCGCTTGTCCTCCCTCACGCGCTTCAAGCACTCAATCATGCAATTTAAGAAATTACTGCCAACCATGCTAACTTCGTCGATGATCAGTACCTCTGTTTTTCTGATCCGCTTACGGGCTGTCTTGTTTTTCCAAGTGATTTCCCGAAGCGCGGCTATCCCTTTCGGATTAAATCCGGTGACCATCCCATGAAAGAGTAGGTAGTCGTGCCGCCAAGTGGTACAGCTGCACGACCAGTAGGTGCGCAGATTCTAACTGTCTTCCCCATATCCGTCAACCGGCGGATAGCGGTTTTGAGAACCGTCGATTTACCGCTTCCAGCTGAGCCAGTGAAAAAGACATTGCGTCGAGCGTGAATGATGGTGTCGAGTAGACGTTTCTGCTCATCAGAAAGTTCTGGTTCAGTATTGATCACAGTTCGATCGTCACGGGGTGCCAATTCATCATGTTGGGGGTCGTACTCATGGCCGTCGGATGAGATACTGAGAAATGATGCTTCGCGTTGAGTCCGTTTAGGTGAAGGAGGAAGCGTTTGGGACAGTTCGTTGTTTTCGCTTGTCGGAGCAGCATCACTGGCCTTTCTCTTTGTTCCCTGGGGCGGCGGAGTAGGAGGGTACGTCGGAGGGGCTGGACCTCTCATTATGGGCATGGGTCGCGTGAATGAACGGGGTATCTGCATGTGATGTCAGTGCATGCTTGCGGTAAGCGGGAGCCCTAGGAGTACCCACATGATACGTAGTACGCGTAGGGCAAAGTGATCGATCGCGTTGATGAAGGTTTAGATGGATAGCGGCAGGGGACGCGCCTGATTTATCAAGGGGCCAAACTCAAAGACGCGAAGTGGCACTGTTCCAATTCGTCATCTTCTTGGAGTTTTGCTTTTTCTGGCGCCAACGCGTCATCCACTGATGACTGCGAATTTCTGACATGGCATCAATTCAAGACTCATTGCGTTTCATAAAGCTGATAGCTAATACAACGGTATTCTCCTCAGTGGGTGGGTCCCCCTGCTGACTGCAGTACAGTAGCAGATGCCCGTTCTCATTCTCAGCCGTTATAAAACGGTGCCCCATACAAACTCAACAGCAATGTTCAGCATGGCAGCCATCTTATCGCTCCCCATCTCCCAAGTCTGCAGCCTCTGCGCTTCAACCGGATTCCCCGTGTTGCTTTTCGCTTCAACGAGCTCACCCAATGTAATCATAGGACAGCTCATATCAAAGAAAGCCTTCTCCGTCTGCCATTCCTCAAGACTTCTCGCTTCCCACAATAGTTTGCTCGATGGAAGGGGCAGGCTGCACATGTCGCTGCAGATACTACATTTCTTCCCATTCTCAATGGTGATCACGCAGCCTATGATCAGCCATAGGCAAGACATTCGGCGGCGTGATTCTGCGAAGATCCAGTCTTGCCATGTTGAACTTGGCTCGGCTATTTCGGTGGTCGAGTAACTGCCGGTATGATCAAGAAATCGGGAGCCAATCATCTAATAAGAAGTTAGCTTGATGTTGATGTGAAGCTTGACAACACTGACCTCAGCTGTCTCGAAGAGCCTAGAAGTGCGCTCCTTGCTTTCTGAGTCAGGTTCGCTCATCGACATCATCATGTAAATGATCATAGCCTCCAGACACAGATGTACTTCATGAGGAGATAACGTATGTAGCTGCTTCGTATTAGCCGACGTAACTTGAAAAAGCTCGTCATGTTTACCTTTTCCCGAAAGCGCTCCTCCTCAGCAGCGACCATCCTCCACAAGAACGACTGTGTTTCTGGCGTTCGGGCGGCAAACAGCTGACAAAGGCTCATACTATTCCCCAATGTCTCAGGGAGAGTTTTTAAATGCCAGTGGGGGTGAATAAACGGCGGGAACGTTTGCCGCCGGAGCATCATCTGCGGATATGCGTAGAGCATCTGCATGATGACTCTCGACGCGTGCTGCATGCTTGAAAGACGATTAGATACGCGCGTTAGATCTCCCTTGGAGCTGAGCGATCTCGGAGGTACGCGAATTTGCATATCGTTTGTGAAGCTGGACGGAAACATTTCCAGAGAAGCCGGCATGAGACCAGAGGGATCGGTTGATATGGTGGTCAGCGACGAAACGAAATCACTTGCGAAGTCGCCCAAGTCAAGGGAAATACTCGGAGTTTCATATGGAAAGAATCCATTAAGGGCCTCCAGCTCATTATTTGGTCGAGCATTGAGATCTTGGCAATGCTCAATTGATGTCGCAGGTCCGTTGCGAACTGGTCGACCAAACGTGCATCGCAGATCCTTCGTCGTGCATCTCGAACATGGCTGAACAAAGTCGCATTTCGTCTTGGCTATTCTACAGGAAGTGCAAGACTTTGGGCGTCCTTTGCGTTGAGTCTGGGCGCGGCGGCAATAATTGACGTGACGCTTGTACGGATGCTCTGACAAAGGTCAGCGGCTGGGAGGCATGCTTGGGACAAACGTACCCTGAGTGAAAGCCTTGTCACATAAGTGGCACGTTTGAAAGAACAGAGAGTCTGTCAAAATTTCCATTGTGATTGATACGAGTTTTCGCGACTGGAAGTGATGTGAGAGAACACAAGTGCAGGTTGGTAAGCAAAAATACGTTTTCGGATTTAAGGCTAAAATCTTACGGCTAAGACCCACAGAGGGGGTCTAATCCCGCTCGTAATTACAGGATCTAGCGAAACACCAAACTACCATGATATGATACAGTTTCCATCTATAGAGGAAGCTCTCCGCTACGATCACTGAAGGTCCTGGTGGGCCCATCCTCCCCAATAGTCGCCATTTCAACGACCCTCTCAGCGCCAACTTCAGGAGTCGTTCCCCACTCATGATAACCCGACAAGCCCGTCTTCACCAACCCTGGACAAACACAATTGACCTTTCCACCCACATGACGCAACTCCCGAGCAAAGTTAAGCATCAGCATATTGACAGCCGCCTTGCTCGCGTCGTACGCTTTGTAGTCAATGTTGTAATAGATCGTGGTTTCATCAGTGGCCTTGGTGAGACTGCCCATGACGCTTGAGACAAACACAATTCGCGGTGGAGCATTCTTTGCTTTGCGAAGAGGTGGGAGAATGCTTTGAGTAAGACAACCAGTTCCTACGACATTTGTTGTGAATGTCTTGGAGAAGAGATCCCAGGCTGAAAGACCTTTGTCAAAATCGAGCAAAACAGCGGCGTTGTTGATGAGAACATCGAGATATCCGTATTTTTCTTCAATATGCTTGACTGCCTTGTCGATGGACTCGGGAGAGGTGAGGTCAAGCTCTACTACTGAAGCTTGATGGCCGTCCTTTTGGAGATCAGAGGCGATTTCTTCGCCGGCTTTGGTGTTGCGAACGCCAAGAAGGACATGGTAGTTATGCTTGATGGCGAGTTCTTTGGCAACTGCAAGGCCAATGCCTTGAGTTGAACCAGTAACAAGAGCAAGAGTTCGAGACATGATAGGCAAAATGAAATGTATGAAGGGTTTGTATATTGGTGGTTGTTGATGATTTTAGTCAAGAGGTCGACGATGAAGTCTTTATATAGGCAATTTTCTAGGAACAACCATCCTGCCTTTGACATGCTCTGTCAATTTGAACTTTGCGGCCAAATTGGCCTGGGAGTTCCAGATTTTACTAGCGTCCCTGGACGCTTCTCATGGTGTCGTCAAGATGGATCATGGCGAGTTTCTCACGTCCAAATTCGCCGGCTCGAAAGTGGGGCCGCAACGGCCAATTTGGCCGATGGCAACTGAAGCCAATCAACCAATTGAGGTTCCCTCCATATGACGGAGTGTTTTATTTTAACATGAGGAAAATGGAGTTTACGAAAAGTCTTGAAACATGTCCGGCTGTGTTTTATGTTCTTGCAAGGTTGAGGTGTTTGAGGCAGCAATTGTTTTGCCACCTCTTGGGCCAACTATAGCCAGATCTACATTTTGCGATTCGTCAGACATGCGTTCTTTGAGAACTGAAGAATTTCATATCGGACCAGGCATTTGAAATCCATCTTGCTAGCCCTTCTACAGCTTTCAAAACAGGATGTCCTCATCCTTTGTGGCTGTGATGATTCCAATGTGCAGAAGACAGACTTTACTTAGGTCCTCTATGGGTTATGTAGACTTAGTCTTCACACTTTGAGATGAAAGGGTCAACAACATGTCATGCGCGTAGCGTATAATACTAGATCAAACCGTTTCCAGTAACCAAGAAGAAATTATGATGACTATGGAATCATTCTTTCGTGATACCATTAGTTAGAGCGTTCCTCAGCGAACCGGAGAATAACCCTGACAGCGTTTGTGATATCAAAGTTGCAAGATGAAAAGATGATATCATGGCATGGAATCAACATACAGGATGAAGTTCTCACATGTGATTTGAATAGTCATTTGCTACTCCATTGTAGACTACCCTGTGCACTTGACACATCCTTCAATAATACATTGATCTATGCCGAGTCACTACTGGGTAATACGAACCCACAGACCATTCTGACCTGAAAAGCCAAGGCGTGGGGAAGCCTTGGCTAGTAGCAGTCTCGAAGTTTGACAAGATTGGCAGGTCACTTGGAGCTGTCCCTCATGCCATCCGACGAGGGGATGCTCAACAAGTTTTTATCAAGAAACCTAGGGCTCTTGTCTCTCGTATGATGACCTCAATGAAAACTCATCAGTGCCCAAGACTCATGTCCATGAAAGATAGAGGCGACGAAATTGTTGGGCCCCTATCACCATGGTACCAAGCAAGGCTGATAATGAGGCCGCTTCGTATCTGCAAGATACAACATCGTGTCACTGACTCGCAAATAGACGCGTGATGCATTCACTTAACAAGCAATACTACCTTCCATATAAAAAGCGGCATGATATCAATCAGAACATCATAGCACAGCATGTAAAAGGCAGTTCACATACCGAGCGAGCCTTAATAAATCTCGCAGGTCCCCGACTACCCCTCTTTACCACTGATAACAATCATCTCTCCTGCAAGTCATAAACAGCGGAGTGATAGTTGATTGGTCCACCGTCTCCGCGTTGAGGGTGGTATTGCCGGGAGACATGGCCCAACATGGAAGGTCCCCAGATGTGCAGGGATGTCGTGGTAGATCACACGGATGTCGTTCGTCAAAAAGAACCTTTGCCAAGAAGACGCAGGGGCCGTCAAGGCGCTTGCAGAGTGCAGAAATAGTCTGGCGTCTTTATCTTGCAGATCAGAGTATATTGCGGTGTAGTGGTCTGGACTATGGACTTCCTTTTGGGGTATGATTGCTTGGATAGTGGTGTTGTGAAGCTAGATAGTGTCTGCCGTGCGCAGCCCATTCATTCCCTATGCTAGTGTGATCATATCTACGACTGCACCACTTCGTTTCTAGCGTCCTAAATGCTCCGACGATGTGCTAAGAAGGTTTATCATGCTTAACCTTACTCTTAAGCTTGCAATAGCGACTAATCACTAGTCTTCGGCGCATACATCTCAATCAGGCTATTCACTCCGCACCTTTTCCCCAAAGTGCAAATCTACGATGGTTCGTCCCGAGCCGTTTATTCCCTCGGCTGTTGTTTGTCCGAGAAGACCTTCCTATCTCGCTGCCGCCGAGATTTTGCGATATGACGTGCTAACCCTTAGCGGGACTGATGGCCAGGAACAAGTGACCCCAGATAGCAATGTCGCATGACTGTAGTGCTTGCGAGATAGTGCCTGGACAAAAGACCCTTCTTGCAGCGCTTATATCCCAGAATAGGGCAGTGGATAGTTATGAGCTTCTAGATATTCTAGGCCAAGATATACAAAAGTCCCAGTTGAATTGGGAAGCTGGATAGAAGCTTGGATGACTGGAAGCATAGTATTGTAGATTGTAGAAGTATATAATAGATCCTTCAAGCTTGTCTATCTAAACCTCACGAACATCATCATCAACTCAGCACTTCACTGCAGTGCAACTCATCAAGATGCGTTTCTCTGACTCTCTCCTCCTCATCGGCCTCTCCAGCCTCGCTGGTGCTCATCCCAGCAGAAGGGCTCCTAACCCTTCGCCACTGAGCAAGCGTGGCCTCGACCTGGAAGCTTTCAAGCTTCCTCCCATGGCCGAGTACGTTCCTCAGGACGAGGTTCCTGATGATGTCAGTGCCAAGCTCATCACTAAGCGAGCTGACTATACCGAGACTGCCAAGGACTTGGTCAAGTCGACGTTCCCCAAGGCTACTTTCCGTATGGTCAATGATCACTACATTGGTTCCAATGGAATTGGCCATGTAAATTTTCGCCAGACGGTCAACGGTATTGATATCGACAATGCCGATTTCAACGTCAACGTGGGTATTCTCAAAAGATCCGGGAATTGTGGATGTGCTGACACGGATACAGATTGGCGCTGATGGAGAGGTCTTCTCCTACGGAAACAGCTTCTACGACGGCAAGATTCCCGGACCTCTCACCAAGCGCGATGAGAAGGACCCCGTTGACGCTCTGAAGGACACTGTCGATGTCCTCTCTCTCCCTGTTGAGGCTGAGAAGGCTAAGGCTGAGAAGAAGAGCAAGAACCACTACACTTTCTCCGGTACCAAGGGCACTGTCAGCAAGCCTGAGGCTAAGCTCACCTACCTTGTTGATGAGAACAATCAGCTCAAGCTCACATGGAGAGTTGAGACTGATATTGTTGATAACTGGCTGTTGACTTATGTTAACGCTGCCAAGACTGATGAGGTCGTCGGTGTTGTTGACTATGTCAACGAGGCTACATACAAGGTCTAGTACGTATTCCGGTTGATTCATGATTTAGAAAGAGCTGACCATTTTATCGTAGTCCCTGGGGTGTTAACGACCCTTCCAAGGGATCTCGAACCACTGTTACAAACCCGTGGAACCTCGAGGCCTCCGAGTTCACCTGGCTCAGCGACGGCTCAAACAACTACACCACCACTCGCGGAAACAACGGAATTGCCCAAGTTAATCCCAGTGGAGGCTCTACCTACTTGAACAACTACCGTCCTGATAGCTCTTCGCTGAAGTTCGAGTATGACTACTCCACCAGCACCACTACACCCACCACCTACCGCGATGCTTCCATCGCCCAGCTTTTCTACACTGCCAACAAGTACCACGATCTTCTTTACCTTCTTGGCTTTACTGAGAAGGCTGGTAACTTCCAGACCAACAACAATGGTCAGGGTGGCGTAGGAAACGATTTTGTTATCCTCAACGCCCAGGACGGAAGTGGTACCAACAACGCCAACTTCGCTACTCCTGCTGACGGTCAGCCCGGTCGCATGCGAATGTACCTCTGGACCTACAGCACACCCCAGCGCGACTGCAGTTTCGACGCTGGTGTTGTCATCCACGAGTACACTCACGGTCTCTCCAACCGTCTCACTGGTGGCCCTGCTAACTCAGGCTGTCTTCCCGGTGGTGAGTCTGGTGGTATGGGTGAAGGCTGGGGTGACTTTATGGCTACTGCTATCCACACCACATCCAAGGATACCCGCTCTAGCAACAAGGTCATGGGTGACTGGGTCTACAACAACGCAGCCGGCATCCGCGCTTATCCCTACAGCACCAGTCTTACCACTAACCCCTACACTTACAAGAGTGTCAACAGTCTCAGTGGAGTCCATGCTATTGGTACTTACTGGGCTACTGTCCTGTATGAGGTTATGTGGAACCTCATCGACAAGCACGGGAACAGTGATGCGGATGAGCCCAAATTCAGCAACGGCGTTCCTACCGACGGTAGATATTTAATCATGAAGCTTGTAGTGGACGGAATGAGTCTGTAAGTATTCCCTAGACCTCTAAGATATGATATTTTGCTAACACTTTTGATAGGCAACCCTGCAACCCCAACATGGTTCAGGCTCGCGACGCCATCATCGACGCCGACACCGCTCTTACCAAGGGAGCTAACAAGTGCGAGATCTGGAAGGGCTTTGCCAAGCGTGGTCTTGGAACTGGTGCCAAGTACAGTGCTTCCAGCCGAACTGAGAGCTTCGCTCTCCCATCTGGATGTTAAGGGGAGATCTCAGTAGCAGGGCGATGAGTGGATGAATGAATGACGAGTGATGAGTCAGAGATTGAGATGATGTCTGTGTCTTTCTGGTATATATATAGTTGTGTTGTATATAGTCTCGTATGTTGATGTCGGCTTCAATTACAAGTACATGAAACTGACTCTGCTTTCTTTCCATGCTTGCATTTGCGATCAGGTGATTTGAATAGAAAGTGGGTCTTGACGTCTCCTAAAATATAATAAATTATGATAATACTTCTGCAAACTTTCAAAAGTTGTCCTCAAGTCGTCCTAAACTCATCATATTCACAAGTCCGTCCCACCTATCTTCCGTCGCGGGTTCTTGACGTTACTTCGGTGGGATAGCGGCGCTGTGGTATCTTCTCGCTGCCTCCTGGGTATGATTTGCCAGAGATCCATTCTTCCTTAAGGTAATTAAGCTGATCAGGGCTGAGGATCAGATCCATCCTCCTCTTGCTTGACGCAGGCAACTCGCAACGGGTCAATGTTAACCGACGGCAATCTGCAATTAGTTTTGTATAACGTAGATCCAAAGCTTCCTAATCCATCTGCTGGCTTTCAATGTCAAGGGACTAATACTGTCGGTAGTAATCCGCGATTTTGGCCAGTGTAACAGGGAGGTGCGTCTTTTTGAGAAAGTTAATAGCGAACGGGACTGTCGCGATGTTGTCTGCGTATGAGTTCTATACCACTTGCCCGGACCGATGGATGGATACCGGAAACATAGCATCGATACTTATCTGATCTGGCCTGCGGTGTTGTGGAAGAGGTTGGTGCCTGCGAAACCATGCTGAGATCTGTCTTTGCCACTGCAAAGAGCTGTGGCAGATGCTAGGCAATATTAATCTTTGCCCTATCTATCTGTTGATGTCTTGTGGCATTTATCTGCCAGAATCTACGGAAAAGTCGACTTGAACTCCTCCACCGGCAAGGTTGAGCGACGCGAGAACAAACGGTAATTTAGGAGACGTTATTCTGGTTGCTGCTAGATCGCATTCGGTGACCCACTTTCTCTCAACACCGAAAACCCGCCTCCCGCAACATCGACAACACATCAGTACATGACTTGGATCGGTCGCCCACCACGCGCAGCTTGTCACAATATAGTAAGACTTCATCTACATACTATACAGACCAAAGCGAAACAGTTGACAGACTTTTTGAAGTTCTGCGGCCTCGGTGCGACGGCTGGATCGCAGCAGCAAGATCAGACCTCAGAGCCAAGCAGCAGGACCCCAGCGCCCATACATACGGGCCCAAATAATACAAACAATAACAGTCCAGCTTCGCCGACAAACAACTCAACAGAAAGTATAACATACTGTTACTCCCATTAATGAAAATCTGTCTTTAATAACTAACTAGACGAACAAGAGGACCCCCCACAACAGACTGAACCTCGAGCCCGATACAACCCAAGCAACTGCCTTTCACAATCTTCCCGGCCCGGACGACAAGTCTGCTGTTCCCTCAGTGTCTCACAACCCTTCTTTATCCCATTGCTCTTCTTTAAAAAGTCCCAAGCCGACCGGAGCTCTTGGCTCCAGTACAGATCAAGAAACGAAACCCTCAACAGTTCAGCCTTCCCCGGGTCTGGCAAACTCTACACAGTCGACGAAGACGCAACTATCAAAGATGACAGACAATAAGAAACGGAAGAAGCCACCTACAAGACTGGGGAGCAATTCCAAGCACCTCAAGGCCGATACCGTCAAGAGAAGTCGGTCCGAACTAATTGAAATCACTTCCGATAACGACTCACGAAGCGACGAATCCGAGTACTTGGATAATGAGAAACAACTGACCGACGACGAGAGGCACCTACCAAGACCTCAGAAAAGAACAACCGATGGAAAACTCAAAGCCACGGGTTCCAGCAACATCAACCTTCCTACAGATGAGCTCGAAGAGGAATTGGGTGAAGACGAAGCTGGGATGTTGAAGGATGGGGACATACCTGCTAATATCCACGTCGGGGATACGGACCGTATTATCAGCAAAGGTCCAAAGCCAAATCATAACACAGCGACAAAGACATCGGTCAAGCAGAAGACCGAACTTCAGGAAGGCACATCAAAGAAGGAAGTGCCACTCAGAGCCTTCAAGCTCATGATACACTACGCTTTTCAAACAGTCGGCCTTAGTTCAGAAAAATACCCAGTCGTCTTCAAAATGGCTGTTAAGTACATCAGCAGCACAAACTTCTTTCAGGCGAATGTATTCTCTGCCTGGGGAGCGCAGAAGCGTATCAATACAGAGGCAGATCTCCTTCGCGCTGCAAGTGCGCGGTACCCTCACTACGTCCTGACGATGGCGCCCGACTTGATCCTCTGTCTGATTGCGGCGATCGACTTAAGACCCGAGGTCTACGGGGAGCCAAATGGACGGGGAATCACCATCATCGGTGACTTCCATGTCTTTAACCACTTGCGGCCGGCAATCGAGCTGGGCGAAACGATCTCTTGGGACAAGGGATCTCGAGGCCAGCTCCTCATGCTTGGACGAAGAGGCGCACAGGAACCACTGCCAGTCGATCTGCCTGTTCTCAAGCCTAGCAAGGCACAGACCAAAACCGGCAAGAAGGTCCCTGAAGCCATTCCCGAGCCATACCCAGCAAACGGCACCGACATCGAACAAGTTCCAGCCGGTTTCATGCAGCCGTATCCATTCCGACCGACTATCCCATCTGCGCCGACTACAAAGGTAATCATAGCAAAAGAATGGGACCGACGAAATTCCCATTGGCTGGATAAACTGATGGACCCCGAGAGCACGAAGGATATTCTTGGGCCAACGATCGAGAAGGAGGTCACAGAAGAGATTTTCCCGCTTATCACCAAGGCTCGCCGCAATGTTCTCTACCGATGGGCAAGGTCAGAAGACTTTAACCTCGACTTGAGATTGCTTGAGGCCCCTATCCTCTCGCAGGTAGAGGTGCGCGACAACACAAGCCAAGAGATCCTTAACGTAGAGACCGATACAGCCCGTCGATCAATCCGGGCCATCGAGACCGCGGCTTTAAGCCTGCCAAAGGCTCACCAGAAAACAGCTGCCCTAATCAAGCAACATACAGACCGGCTGTTTGCTTGCCGAGATCAAGAGATAGACAACCAGACTCTGAGGGCACAGAGCGTAGCCAAGCGGCGAGAATCTTCGTCTGTCACTATGGCAATCACAAACGCTGCTACCAAGACTCGACTTCGGTCCCGAGTCGATCCTGCCCAAAAGGCAAGAGATATAAGTAGAGGCGCTTGAAGCGGATATGGAAAACTCGGTCTGCCATACTGCGAAGGAGGCTGGTCAGGGACCAAGGTCTGGCGGAGATAGGCCTTAGTCTTGACGAGAATGACTTGTAGTCTGATGAGGAGTCCGATTAAGAGTGAGATAGATATCGGATTAAGTAACAGATGGCTGTGCTTGAGGCCCGCGAAGCAGCACATAGGGGTTGACAGACGGAGGATGGTAAGCTTTTGGTAATAGCTCGTGGTCTGGGAGATTGGGAAGATGTTATATCAGTAGCTTTACAAAAATGCAGACCGACATCTCTCTCATATCGTTTCTCTGATTAAGTCTCAAGTTTGTACCACCATTAAATTTGTGGCAATAATTTCTGTCTGCTGGGCTACTTATGATACCAAAGTATAACATATGCGTCCGGCAAGCTTAGTGGTCTGACAGATATAGTGATTGTGGCATATGTATCGCATGGATCATAAGATCAGCGGCTTCTATTCCATTAGTTAGATTAGTAACCGAATTACTCAACCTTAATGCTGGATTGACTACCTTTGCGCCAGGGCTGACCAAATCGCCCAGGTCGAACTTGACACGTCTGTCTGCTATTTTGGCAAAGTGGGACATTCGTCTTTATATACACAAGTAACTGGGGCTTCGGTCTTCTTGGGACCAATAAGTCCTTCAAAGTTGATATGCAAGGCATACTTTTCTTTATCAGAGTTCAGTTTCGTGGTACATTCTACAGACTTCTGGCACCTCTTTTAGCTGTCATTTAATCTTCCTTCTTGCTTCCGGCGTGATTCCTGGTCGTTTTACAGATAATTTTCTTCATAAGATGGAAAAAGTCTGTAGGTTTTTATCATGTTCAAAGAATATACGCGTCGTGGCCGACCCATCAAAGTCAAGTACGGATGTGTTATAGATGTTCCAAGATGCGAGTTTTCGGTGTGAGAGAAAGGTGAGGTAGGTCGCGCGTAATAGTGCAAGGAAACTGAGTTCTGTGCGTTGATTCAGTCCCTCACTGCAGTTCACTATCCTAAATGATAGTAGGACTTAGGTAACTTAGTATAAGCTTAGGATATCTCTAGGATAGCCTTTGATGAGTTTATTCTGATACCTTACATGATGCAAACATCAGTCAAGCAAATTCCAGGCTTAGGATCGGACTATAGCAGTGAACACGGTAAGATGAGGCCAGAGATTTCAAAAATAAAAGTCATTTATTCACTACCGTATTTTCAAATGCTACAAATATGGTACTGCAATTATATGGCCTCTCCTTGGCCATTACCCCACCTGGGAAGGTCCACTCAATACAGCAAAAGTGGCAATGAGCTTTATTGCCGACTTCCAACCAGGCGTTCGTCCAATTACCAACCCCCATTGACTGACTTAGGACTATGGGGTTTTCAAGATTGTCTCTCAACTTCTTTTACATTGCAGGTCTCAGACCTCGTATTTGCGAAATGTATTTAAGTGGTATCCATTTACTAATGGTTGCTAAGGTCGTCCTGTGCATGTGTCTTCTTATCAAAATGATGAACGGCATGTTCTCTAGCCCAATTCCTTAGAATGTCAAAGTCACGGCACGTATGCATGACTCGAGCAACCTCCTTCGCTTCTTGTGCCTTGTCACTCCAGACCCATGGAAGTGGAGTAATATCAGCAGAGCACATAAGACTCTGTCGTAAAGCATCATAACAATGCTCAAGATGTTCGATCCCAGTTAATTTATGGTTGGGATCGTATTTGCCGTCTTCGATATAAAGCCTCTTGCGGATCATATTCTAGGCTGTGTCAGAGCTCCGTCGTGTGGGGGGGATCATCGAACTCATCGATGTCTTTGTGTAGCCTTACCAAGCAATGTAGTTGATGGAAAACATTTAATTCAATGACATATTGGCCTGGCTCGCCGGGTATTGGAAGTGTCTTATTCATCAACTTAGCAGCCGAGTCGCGAGGAATTCGGCTGATGCCAACTTGGGGAAGAAACATGTTAGTTGACATTGATATAACGAGAAGTCAAAACTCGACTCACAGTTCAGATACAAGTCATCCCACAAAGCATCTCGCTCGGGGGTGGGCGGTCCTTGGTAAGGCGTTCTCTCAGAGCCGAAGCCGGTGGTAAATACTAAGTTCTTGTAGTGCACAAGTTCCTCGACGGGGGCTGCAAATGTTTTCTCGGTATTCAGAATCCTCTCCAAAACTTCATCTGAAGAAAGAGGTCCCTGGATTGTGTAAACTTACAGTAAACGTGATCTTTGAACACAACATCACTGTGATACGACTCTTTGAGAGACAGGGCCAAATATGTGCTCAAGCACAACAAAGAAATAATTAAAAGAATACATAAATAGATAAGGCAATAGAGGCTTCCGTGATTCTTTCTGATTTGAATTCCATTGCCCAATTTGGGTAAGAATAGTTCTTCCTCGCTACTGCGAGCATCATTAACTAGGCCACAGTCACCGACTTTGGACAGACTCATGATGACAGCTTGAAGTTGAGCTTGAGAAAGATCTCGGGAACGGGCTCATTGTCCAGGTAATCGAGGGAGGATCGGTTATGCCATGCGGAATTTATCAACTATCCTAAGTACAATGTAGCTCGCGTACGAGCCGAACAGCCGTAAGGAATGTATGTTGGTTGACACAATGGGCCGTGTAGCCGTTATATGCATGTTGGTTGAGGATGTTCACATAGCGCCTTACTTGGTTGGTTGACAAAATACGCCGAATAGCCGAAACTCTGCCAGCTGGAAACGCCTCGAAAAAAGGATACACAATGCCGATATTTCACAGAATCGAGATGCTTTAATAATATAGCATTATCAAGGTCAATTGGTCCTTTGGTAAGCGAAAGCACGGTTTGTGCAAAATGTTCTATGGAAATATCTGTGCAAAACTCTATATTTTTGTCTTACTAGGCTTTGTAAAGCAATTGCTTTATAGGACGTTACAACCTCATACATGGCCTACATCAATGATTAATCCATTTTAGGAAGGTCAGTTGAAATCTTGTCTTGCGTTTCAGTCTCTTTCAAGGGCATCGATTTACCCTTCTTCATAAGTGCCCGGTGATTGACTGCCATAAGATGACCTCGCTTAGGAGGTCCTTTTGTTTCTCTAACTATCCGCCTGTTCCATAGCGGCGGCACGTTTTGAGAACTTCTGCTAGGGAGGTATCATATCTCAATCAACTAACCGTAATGGAACTGCGAGGTCGGCCGCCCGGCAAAGATATGATGCATTGGTTGGCGAGTTATCGTGTTGGTAGGCTTTGAATATGCTCCTTGTACCTCCCGTAACTATCAAACTGGGTCAGCTGGCGAGAAGTATAAGTAGCCAACAATGTCCAGCACTTCATACATCATAATCCAGTCTTGCTACAACAATTTCACCACCCAAGCTTCTTATCAGTTAACGTTGAAACCTTTCGCCGATATCCCCAAGATGAAAATCACCAACAGCCTTACTCTTATTGCTTTGGCAGCCCAAGTCTTAGGTTCTCCACTGGGAAGCCGTTCCCCAGGCGTTATCGAGGTAGTTATCCACTATCGATCAATAGATATTCATCACAATTGCTAATAAGTTAAGGCTCGCGCTGAGGACACTGCAGAGCCAGGCAGAGCAGGATGGTTGGTCGAGGACAGACGTCGAAGTGATGATGTCGCAGAGCCTGGTAGGGCAGGTTGGCTGGTCGAAGACAGACGTCGAAGTGATGATGTCGCAGAGCCTGGTAGGGCAGGTTGGTTGGTTGTCGACAAGTCTTAGGGGGGGATGTTAGCTTCCTGATATGAGACAATCTTGTTATCTATGTCTGAGTTGAGGACTGCAGCTATAAGTATCATTATAGGAAAAGAAAAAGACACATTGTCTTTCCACTCTTACTACCCCCTTATGTATTGTTACGGGTTTCAAGCTTTGAACGAGAATGGAAGAGCGCTTTGTCATGAGCAGCATCAGCACAAAGGTAGATAATCAACCACTATATTGTCTGGTCTGGTGTGGCGCGTGGGGACTAAAGGCCTGTGCGACCCGCTACATAGAAGGATCAGACGATTGTCAGTGTGATGTGGCAGTATGAACCAGTCCAGTCAGTCTAGTAAGCTCTGGTGATGGCGCTGTTCGAACGGTTTGTTTTCTCATGTCTCGGTGCCAACAGCTAGAGGCTACTGTCCTGGAGATCCACGTGGAAATAGCGTTATAACGATTCGCCAAATAGGTAGATAATAAACACGGCAATGTATACCACGTAGAAAAGCTGGTTATGATATTGAATTTTGTATTGCCTATTCTATACATCGAAGGCTCTACAGCCCCTGTATACTAAATCCCGAACCCTACTTAGCTGTTCTCATTGAAGGCGCAGTAGTCATAGTTATTAACCTTGTTCCCAGCCCACGCTGGGAAGGGAACCGACTTTCCAGAGCCACCGAAGACAGCAAAAGTCGCAATGAAAACCATGACCTGGGTACCACCATCGAGAGCGGCAGAAATGAGGTAGTTCCACTTCACGAACCACTCAGGGCGGTATCGTCGGAGGTAGAACTGACCGAAGGCACCGAGGATGAAGTAGCTGGTGATCGAGGCGTTGAGTCCAACGAAAAGGTAACCAAGGTACCAGAGAATGATGGGGATGTTAAGGTACGAGAAGATTCGGATGTGGGGGAAGAACTTGTGGGCGAAATAGAAGGGGAGAGGAGCAGCAAATCCGATGAGATAGGCGATGGTGACCCATTCGTAGCGGGCACCGATGGAGAACATCTTGGGGGCGATGGACCAGGCGATAGCCAGGGTGTTGAACTGCTGCACCTGCGCTCCACTCCAGACGTTGGTACCTTCGGCTGACATGAGGATGGTAGCCTGGTTGTCAACAATGCTACACCGAGTTAGCTTCAAATGTCAAAATCCATGGTTCGTAGACTCTTACCTAATCATCATGACATAGTTGAGAAGAGCACCAAGGACACAGCCAATGACCTGAGTAGTGAAAGTGGCCTTGGGAGAGAGCTTGTTCTGCTGGGCGAGCTTCAGGTCACGAAGGAGGAGGGTTCCCTGGCTGAAAGCGTTATAGGTGTACGAAGTGAAGTACATGTTGGCTAAGAGGGTCAGTATCGAAGGCAGTACAGATGATGGGGTTACTCACCAAGAGGGCGACCAGGGAACATGTAGCCAGCCAACATCTGGAAGATGGGCTGGAGGTTGAAACCGAATCCAGTGATGGCATATTGGGCTCCGAAGAAAACCATTATGACTATGAGGAAGAGGATGGCCAAGATAAAACCCCACCACGGGAGAGTCGACTTCATGGCATACAAGCAAGACAATCCAATGACGATGCTACAGAGGAGGATAACGAAGTACCAACTGTTGGGAACCTCATCGTAGTCGAGCATCAGCTTGTAATGAGGATCGATGGTAGGGTCGTCGCGGAGCTTTTGCTTCTCTTCCTCGGAGCGAGTACCGGTCTGCTTCCAGAACTTGTATGATTCAGGACGGAGAAGCTGCTTCAACTTGGCGAGTGTGATCCAGTTCCACCCCAGGCTGACCTCGGCATAGTTCCAGAGAAGCATATGCACAATTGTGGCAGTGAGACCAGCGTTGGAGGTGATGAGATAGTTGATGTAGGTAGCAGTCAAGTAAGGAAGACCCTGCTGGTCGACGAGATCGTTGTTGACAGTGAAATCGGGGTTCATGATGGAAGTCTCGTTGTAAGGAATATGAGTGGTCGTGTTGGAAGCTCCATCGTAGAGAAGCTGTGCCATGAAGGGGAAGTCCTTTGCGCGCCAGTAGTTTCCGTAGTAGAGACCCATTGACAGGGCGATACCACCGATGTAGCCGAGATAACTGTTGAAGAGTGTCTGAAGGGGCATCCACAGGGGTGAGCCGAAGCCAGCGATGTAGTTCCAATCGAAGCAGATGCTCAAGAAGCCCATTCCCTCGTTACCTTGGGAGCCGCCGAAGAGGTTTGTGAAGACGGGGTTGTGACGGTCGGCGAGGCAGAAGACGGAGACAGCGGAGAGGAGAGGGAAGATGTACTACTATTGTCAGCATGACTTGGTGAGCTTGCGTCGGTGGACTTACCTCGGGGAACCACTCCCAGCAGAAGATGGCAACAAAGACAATCCAGAAGACTTGGAATCTCTTCCTGGTCTCTGACTTGGGCTTATGCAGAGTCTCCATGACAGTTGTGATGGGAAGGTTGGCAGGGTACAACATCTTGGTAGGGTACAACAGAACACTTCTCATCATACCAGCGACACCATATCCGATAAGCTGAGACGACAGAGTGACGAAGATACCGGCTGCCACGGAGGGGTATCCGCCATACCAGAGCTTCTGGACAGTCAAGGCCTCGGTAGACAAGGCTGAGACTGAAGCGGCTGATGCCATGAGGACAGCGGCGGTATGTTCCTTTCGATTCCAGGGGCCGGGGTTGAGAAGACGACCGATGCGGCCCCAGCGTGGGATAATGTGCGCGAGACCGGTACCGAGCGTTTCAGCGAGGACGGTCAAGAACATGACGGAGACGTAGACGACTTGGGGCTTGAAGTACATGATTTCTTGGAGGACAGCACCAAAGGCCGACAGTCCAATACCTATCACCCATCAGCACATTACATCTTAATTGTAAGTAAGGTAATATACTAACCAACGGCAAACATGCGAATCGTCCATGGGTTCATGGTAGGGTCATCATCGACCTGAATAACATGTGTGACGATATCCTCAGCAGTCTCAAGCGGCTGCTTCACCTTATCAGACGACATGATCTCAATGTCATGAACATTCTTGTCATCCTGAGGAAGACCCCTCTTCTCATCAGCAGGATAGATATCCGCCTTGGAAGAAGGGCTCTCCGGTTTGGTCTCCTTCTCAGAGATACTCATTGTAGCTTAACAAAGGAATTAAAACATACACATGGAGAAGAAAGGATGTCGATGAAACCCAAGCTCTTGGCAGGGCGATGCAACATGTTTTGTACTCAGATATCTAAAACACCAAGATGATCATCACCAATGCTACAGTCGTGCTAGACCATCAAAGGCATTCCGGGTTTTCGGCACGCTATCATACTGGATAGGACGGCAATACCCAACACAATGGCACAGGAACTTTTCAAAAGGACCCAAGCTGCCAAAAGTTCCTCTCTTGTTCCCGATGTTATTTGCGGTTTCGGTTGGCCCAGCCCGGACTCATTTCGTATCTGATATCGACTGCAAGACATACGACACTGCGACTCGCCCCATTCAATATCAACCAAGAATTGCAAGCCAGTGACATGTCCCCTACGGAGTATTAACAGCACCTTTTGCCTCTGGCCCCCCCTTCCCCGCAAGATCACGCGTCTTTGGCTGCGTGTTAGCAACAAAAGGTCCTGGTAAATCGGCATTGGTGCGAGGTGACCTGCCAAGACCGGCTAGATCAGCCGAGGTCGCGCTGGATTGGGCAGTCAGTCCCATTTTCAGACCCTGGTCTATCAAGCCATCTATCGCCGAGTTAGCCGAGAGACACGTTCAAGTGCCGATGGTATTAATCGTTGATATTAGCAATTCTGGGGGGCTTCATATGCTTAATCTTGTAATTTCGCAAATACACGTTGTCGCATCAAGAAAAGCCCGTGAGATTTTACACGCGTGCTGACGCGGGTCTTGCACGGGAATAGAACCGCTAACGTCCAACGGCTCATACGTAAGAGGCGAAAGATAAGCCACTCGCGCTCAAGAGGTGGCACAGATATGGAAATACGGCTATCGGCGTCCCGTTGCTAGATCGGCCGCTCGATACAACACCAACGTGTTCTAGTGCGCTATCGAAGCTGAGGAACTTCTGTTTTGGATGCGGGCGACTTATTAGACGCCGATGCCGGTTTGCCGGTCCCTTATCCATCACGACCCCATGCTACGATAAGAATAGCCTTAGGTTAACGTTCGTGGGGAAGGTCATTTCTCAATTCATCGTGTTACGACCTTTAATACTTCCAAATCTGTCACAAGGAATGCAGCCACTAATTTCTGGGGAGAGGAGGCAAGCAGCCAGTGATAATCATGGAAATTATTATTTTATGTACAAGAATCTATCTAATAGGCTATTCGCCACCGATTTTATCCAGCGCGTAACGTTACTAGTAGTACAATCCATCAGAAGGATTCCGTCCAGAACTTCTGTTATCATTACAACACCCGCATTCTCCTCAATCCTTCGTCATAGACGTCTTTCACGCCACTGTAATACTCTCCTTCTACTGGCTTCTCGATATCAAGCTCCTCCGTACCGAAGCCGAGATGTCCGACTGAGCTCTCGTCACTCTTGCCCATCGACATCCTTCCCCATTTGATCTTTCGCCTCGACACGTCCCTGAGTTCTTCTACTTCTTCATCGCCTATCAGTCGAGCGCTCATGCTGTCGTACTCGTTGCTCCTCATGCTCATCTTGGACGTTGCACGGCTAAGGGATTTGAGTTTTGTAGAGGGGTAGTGGCAGGCTGCGGATATGACTGCCGAGTTTGCGCCAGCGATAACCATCACACCTGGTAGTTTGACAAAGGCGAGGAAGAGTGGCGTGATGGCGACACCGATCGATACCAAGAGACCAACCAAGATAGCCTTGGATGAGAATTGAAGGCCGACTGTGACGGTTCTGCTATACGGATATCCAGGGGCGTATGCTATCGTGTGTCAGCACTTTAATCTGGACAGCTAACCATTTGGGGTAAGTATGCTTACCTTCGTAATTGCTCACGTAAATGCAGTTGGAGTAGACCCAGTGAAGCCCAATACTAATTATGATCAAAGGGATCGAGAACCGATAAGGAAGCTGAAGACGATACGTCGCGTTCTGCGACCCGCGCGGTTCAGTGACTCGCAGAGAACGAAATGCAATACTGTACTTTGACCATTCAAACTCGGCTAGCATTCGTGTGAAGAGGCCGTTGTACGCGAGGTAGCAGATGGAGAGGATGAGCTGCGGCGTGTTGGCAACCATGGTGAGTGAGATGAGAGGAAGGCGAGCTAGCTGGTCGTTCTTCACATCTTCGTTTTGCGGCGCGTGCATGAATTTGGAGTTTTTCCTGTTGATGGGGTTAGGCCTTTCATGCGTACTTACTGCTGATAGATGGAGATTGACTTACAGAGCTTGACCCTGGATGGCGATGTTTAGCATGACGGAAGCCACGATGAGAGAACATCCAATGAGCAGAGATGACAGGACCCAGATGTTTCGAGGAACAGCCTTTCCAAACCTGCGAGGTGAGTTGTTCTGCCACTGCCTCGGTCCTTGCAGCCACTTATAATTCTGATTCGTCTCCCCCAACCTAGTCGGCGTAGGTTTCGCCGTCTTTCTCAGATCCTCCATAGTCAAAGTACACATCCCCCTCGTCTCCTCATCTGGCCTCGAAATAAACGACGCAATCGCATCTCCCGGCGTCATGAGCGGATTCTCATCCCCCCAAACACGAAGCTTCAGAACCAAAAGGCATAGAACGGTCTTGAAGAGACACATGATGCATACAATGAGCAAGAGGCTGTTCGCTATACTTAAACGACAGGGCGCCTCGTACTTCTCCGAGTAGCACCGATCAACCTGCATAACACGATACTTGGACTTGAAAACTGTTGGGTCTGTGATGATGGCACCGGATTGGGGGTCGAAGACATTCCGCGTACCTTGCATATCCCACATTCCGTAGACGTTCATGTAAGAGCGCGAGGGTGGTCCAGTGTTGCCATATCCATCTGGCAGAGTAGACACCAGATAACTGGGTTCAGGGTTTGACATGTACTGATTGTTACTCCCGCTCGCCTCAGATGTCCTTCCGGTGCGTGTAAATGCGTCCACTGACCAAAGAGGATTCATGACGTTGAGATCGGTTGTGTTTGTCGTATTCATCAGCACATCAGCTCGTTTCCAGCCAACTGTTTCGTTTCGGTATATGTCATCATAGTCGTAGATTATCATTATTAAATGTCGCCAATGTGTCAAGGCTTGTTCTGGGTTATTGTATCGATGAATACATTCGGAAAGCTCGAGTTCAACCCAGTTTTCACTCGTCGAGTTAACCACGAAAGAGTCATTGATGGGCTTTAGCTTCTCCAGAGACTCGGGGTTACCGTCGCCCTGTGATTGATCGCTGTAGTTCAATCTATCGAAGTAGGCTGCTGTGATTGAGGGAAGTCCCTTCCAGCCTCCTTGGGTGAGTTCCTGGGAGCCGATCATGACTGTGAAGCCATTGGTGCCTTTACTCTCGAGCACGCAGCCGTTGAAGACGAGATGAAGTGGGACAGAGCTCATGGAAAATAGAGACCAGAAGAGGACTTTTCGCCAGCCCAGAAAACGAAAGTTCTTTAGTGATTGAACGCCAATCTCTAACCAATGACCCGAGCGATGCGCAGCGTCGACTTCAGCTCGCGTCGGCGCAACTAGACCTTGCATGAAGAAGTTGGACGACGCCAAAATGCCAGTACTCACGATATTGATGAGCAAATGAATCCACAAGTTCGCTTTCGAAGTTGTATCGCAATTCCCCTTGTACAAAACACTCTGGCCCAGCGCATCGCCAGCATCCCTCCCACTGGTAAGCGCATCATCTCCATCGTCACGCTTCAGCGCAAACAGCGACACGAAAAGCGTGACGAAGAGGAGCGTCGTGAGCGTGCTCACGAGAATGGTGAGATACACGGCTGTGAGCTTCCACCCCGAAAAGCGACTAAAGCAGCCCATGGTGAATGGCTCACCAGCAAAGGCTGATGCGGAGAAACTTGGGAGGTATCCAAGGCAGACAGATCAGCCCTACCAATCAAACGCGTGGATTTCTAGTCAAGCAAGACACGCGACAAGCTCGGTTACGAACTTTTGTGGCCAGCCTTATGGAGACCATGAGAATCCTTCAGAGGATTAGTTATTCAGAAAAGGCTTAGAGAGAGAGAATGCATTTGTAATCTGAAGAAATGTCCTTCTTCCAGGTTTCAATAAGGTATCATTGGTATTTCGTCATCCGATTTCTTTTTTTACTTTTTGCAGAGAATATCCTACCCAATACCGTCGTGGCTGCGCCGAAGGATCAGCGTTGAAGGGAGAAGGCCAGTAAGAGCGGTTCGGTTAATGTGATGGGGCCACTCGGAGTTTCACTACATCCTATATGACAGAAATAAAAAGACAGTGTTTGTCTACTAATGGGGGAGAAGTGAGGAGGATTTTGTCCCTGCCCCTGGTTTAAATTGACGGCCCCCAAATTCCCCCCTCTGAGTTAGGAGAGCGAGGCTGGTTATGCAGTGAGATTTTGGTGCAAAAACGACACGGGAGGCGTCGGGCGGCCGGAGTTTTAGATGACCCGGATCTCGAAATAGAAATGCATGAGAGAGGAGAGAGATCATTGATCCGGAGACTTTTCTGCTGACTGATACTACGTAGATTGATTGATGATGCCCTCAACTTCTGCCACTCGTCAGATAGATCTCGGCGTTTCGGTAAAATTAACACATTAGGTTTTTTCTTCTTAAGATTGGTCTTCCTGTGCCTCACAAGTGATTGGTTAAGTTTGAGTGATGACGTAGTATTCTGGCACAGTTGCTTACCCTGTGTTGAGTGGGCATATTAAACACATTTTACTTATGCCTCACAAAACTGTAAAGGTAGCTCAAGACAAGATACACCTTCATAGAAAGCCAAAGACCAGCCGTGAGATTAACAAAAGACCGAATAGGATTCACGGGTCGCGACGGCTTACCCAAGCTAAGTGGAATTAACCTCAGGCTTTTCGGGAATCCTAAAAGATGCCCAATCAACATCACTAAAAGAGAATGTGCCATAAGGTTAAGAGGTTAAAAGAGAGTTCAGACCCATAGCATAAAGGTAAAGAACATAAATATTATAATAAAAGATCCAAACCCATATTTATCGTCGTCTTTCATTTCTCACCTTTTCATATTAGCAAACAACCATGGCAACCTCACCTTTCACCCATCTTCTCTCTTTGCCTGAAGAGACGATTGACATAATATGCCAGCACTTTTGTCCCTGCTGCAGCAATAGCCCCTCTCCTCGATACTTCTTAAGCTCCGAATGGTCAAACCCGGCTTTTGACAGAAAATGTCTACTCGCCTTATCTCTGACATGCCAGAAACTCAAGCGTATATCCCATACGCACTTGTATCATAGACCGACGGGGTATGATTTCCTTGGTTTCATCAATACCATTGATGAAACCCCAGCTCTTGGTCAATCTGTCAAGGAGCTCTATGTGAACGGGGACGTAATGACGTCTCTGCGTCTTGGATATTATAAACAATTCGAGAATAGAATACACTACGCCGGAGCAAGGTGGAAATTGATCGCCGAGGTCTTCGATTCCATCATGCCTGCTGTTCTCTCTTTAACACCAACGCTCACCAAGCTTGAGGTTTATGTCCAGACGGACCAGGACTTCTCGAAGACCCAGTCTGGGTGTCTCCTGAATTTGATGGAACTAACTATAGGCTTTTCAGGGAATTTATACACCACATATTTGTACGGCATGGGCGGACTGGCTGGTCTCTTGCACGCAGCACCTCGATTGGAAAGAATCGAACTGCTCAACTTCAAAACGTCGACGGCAACCCTTTATCACGACAATGTCAAAGAACTTACACTGAGATCATGCATGATTCACATCGGTCGAATGACTTTCTTGATACGTGGCTTTCCAAAACTACAAACCTTGCGGTTTAGTGCACCAAAGTATTGGCAACGTTCTAATAACGTGAGTCAACAAACAGGTCGCACGTACAAGATCGAGGATCTCTTGATGCTGAGAAGCGACACGCTCAAACACCTCATACTCGACTATCCTGGTATTGCGTTCGATGACCCTGGTGAAATAGTGATCCAAGATCTCTCAATGATGAAGGTCCTTGAGACACTGTACATCGACAGCAGTATGCTGCATCGCCGATGGGAGCAGGATCGCCTGCGTACACAAAGGCTTTGTCACTTGCTTCCAAGATCCATCAAGGAGTTCGGCCTAATGGGAAGCGCATATCCGTTGGTACATGGCGAGGTTGTGCAGTCCATCAATATCTCGGCCCAGGCATTTCCTCACTTGAAAAAGGTAGTTATCACGGAGTTTGACAAAGAATGGCGAGATGATGGGGATGATTGGGAAAGGACGTATGCCTCGGCTTGTGAAGCTGCCAACATAGAGCTTTCATCTTGGCTGCCTCCAAGCGTACAGCAGTTTATGACCCAGCGCGGCCCGTAGTGGGATTGAATTTGAGGAGGTACTGGACAATACTGGACAACTCTGATTTCTTACCGAGGCTTAGGTTTTGCGACCGTTTTCGAAACTCGTTCGGCTGTATCGTTAAACGTTAATATTCTATATCAAGAAATCGTTCGTTCATGAGCTGCCATGGATTTAGACAACAAATTAAGCTTGCATTTCACTAACCTGCGAATGGTAATTGTCGCGAATTAAGATGTGATGGCTGAGCTAAGTGAGACTGGCTCAATTGGTTCACATTCGATTCACTTTGCGGGGTTCACACCATTAGAATCCTGCGAGAGGCATTTGGAACCTGAAGGCTGGGATGGCCTTACCTCAAAAGTGATAGACCTCGGTACCAGTCAGGTGGGAGCTGAGACTAAACTTTAGTGACAACGGAGCTAAGGCTCCCGAAGGATGCGACCCAGTATAGCTATTGGTGCCGGGGCTGATCAAAGTGGTGATGAAACAGAGCTGACTTCATTTATCTGAGGGTAGGCCTCGGTAAAGTTGAACTGGTGGTGAGTTCGAGACTGAAGATGGTGTTGAATTAATATATTCATGAGCCTCGGCTCGGAACGAAATGTTGTTAACTTGAAGCTGGTACTGAAATTCCATATTACTTCCCCTCAGAATAACAACAGCACCGATGAGCCTCGGTTCACAGCCTCGAAATCAGGATGGTAGTGAGACAAGTCAGTCGAATCAGTCTAGAGCCAATACGGTGTTTCTCGCGATCATGGAATCTTGGCGTTGTTCGGAAACCGGAATGATCATCAACCTAAGGATGCTGTAGTGTAGACACTGTATGTCGATCCAAGATGTTGTCCCAACTGTGCTAACATCTCTACTGGCGTCGTTCTCCCAAACCAAAATTAGACATACTTTTAGACATACTTGACATATTCCGCTATCGGAACGACAGCCCGGTCGAGCGTTCTTGACACCTTCTAGTGTCCGAGCACAAGACGATCATCAGTTCATACCGAGTCATGAAGCCTCACCTGTCCAAGCCCAAGGGATCAAACAAGCCAGTTTCAACTACAACACGAGAACGCTAAAACCTGTTAGACTGAAACTAGAAGTCATAGTCACCATGACCTTGTCGACCATCGCAATCTATCGAAAACTCAAATTCCCGTCAACGAGGGGCCTGTTTTTAATGCTCTAGCGCTGAACTACCCGCAATCTGGCATTTACGTAGCCAATACAACCTTGCACTTGTGCAAATAGCGTGCATGGAACTTACCGAACCGAGGTCATTTTACATTCCTGACATCCAAGACTCGTCAAGCTCGAATCGGTATGGGCTGACCACGTTAGCGGGTTTTAGTATGAAACCGGGAATAAATGCGCACTGCCACGGTCACCCTCCTGAGGCCATCCACCAAGTCAGTGGTTTCAGGTCCCTGTCTAAAAAAGCAACTGTCAAAGCGGCGCACACCGGTTCCCAGCAACGTGGTCATAGGGCGCCGTTTCATACTGCCATATTGCTCTGTTTCGATGATCAGTGGAGTGGTCTTGACTTGGCGTAACGGGGCTCATTTCCCGTTTTGATGAGTGCTTGCGAAGAGACTACTGGTTTTGGCGGCGGCAGACAAGGGCTTCTTGCATGACTCGGGAGTTGACATTGGTGGGATGCATGGTGATAGGTTTGAGAACGAACGGGTTTGGTGGTGTGTGCTCTTAATTTGTTTCCGGGAGATAGAGAGGTTGCTTTGATCTTTGCTTCTTGTTCGTTGCTGATGGTACCGAAAAGTGATCCATCGTCTGTACTCCAAGTTATTCCAAAAGCGTTAGGCTTGCGAAAGCACGGAAGATGGAAGTTACATTTTAGATAAATACCTACGATGGCCTCGATGTTGATGGAATGAAATCAAGCCTCTCAGTCATTCACTCACTCAACAGCCTTTCTTTCAAATCCAACTCATCTGTCTTCGATTCTTCTTCTCCTCAACCGCCAAAATGAAGTTCTCCATCATCTCTACTCTTCTCGCCGCCACCGCCTCTGCTCTTCCCGCTGGTCAGGATGCCGCTGCTCTCGAGGCTCGCCAGCTAGGCGGCAGCATCACCCGCAACGATCTTGCCAACGGCAACAGCGGTTCATGCCCTGGCGTCATCTTCATCTACGCTCGTGGCTCCACTGAAGCCGGCAACCTTGTTAGTGCCCTTTTTCACCCCCACCAACTCCCCCAAGTGACAGATCATAACTAACTCTCTTATTAAGGGTACTCTCGGTCCCCGCGTTGCTTCAAAGCTCGAAGCCAAGTACGGCAAGAACGGTGTCTGGATCCAGGGCGTTGGCGGTGCTTACCGTGCTACCCTCGGTGACAACGCTCTTCCTCGTGGAACTTCTAGCGCTGCTATTCGCGAGATGCTGGGCCACTTCAACGACGCTAACCAGAAATGTCCTGATGCTGTTCTCATCGCTGGAGGCTACAGCCAGGGTGCTGCTCTCGCCGCTGCCAGTGTCACCGACGTTGATGCCGGTATTCGTGAGAAGATCGCTGGAGTTGTTCTCTTTGGATACACCAAGAACCTCCAGAACCGCGGAAAGATCCCCAGCTATCCCGAGGACCGCACCAAGGTCTTCTGCAACACTGGTGATCTTGTCTGCACTGGCTCTCTCATCGTTGCTGCTCCTCACTTGGCCTACCAGAGCGATGCTTCCAACGGTGCTCCCGAGTTCCTGATCCAGAAGGCTGATGCTGCTGGAGCCGCCTAAGCGAGTTGATGGAGGGAGAAGGACTAGGCTGGCCTGTTCTTGTATTTTATGAGGCTTACGGTTTCCATTAGTTTTTGTTTGTATCTACTTCATGGAGGAATGGCTTTAGTGACCATGGACACTGAGACTCAATACGATAGCGCAATCGCATTGACTTGCAAAAGACTTGCCCCCGGAACGTGAACTGCCGTGACAAATTGCTGACCATTATCATTGCGCAAGATGACAGTTGAGAAAAGATGACATTCGATATATCACATTCTCAGAAAATGGATCAATACGAGCAAGCCACATCGCAATTGGCAGTTTCGTCCCATCTTGTCCCCTGCATGTTGTATCGGAAGTGTCTGAGGTGCCGGCCAGGGGTTCCATGCTGCAGGGGTTGCCATGCACGCATTGCATATGGTAGGCCCCATGTGACGATACATCTGACGGTGGGGGAATTGCCAAGCATGATAGGTACACTTGTGAGGAAATACTTGTTCGGTAACTGTGAGATCTGACTTGACTTGCGACAAAGCTCTCACATTGGAGGAATCAGCTTTTGCGTGGGATTGCACATTTCTTATTTGCATTGCATCGTTAGTGGGGGGTCGTAATATTTGATAACTTGGCGAAAGCCACCGTAGCATTGAGCCACTTCTCATTCCATATCGTGTTGAATGATCTGGAAATTAGGTTGTTACCGCACGGGTTCTCGAGCAGAATAAGCTTAATCAATAACGAGAAAACACCCCTCGGTGTCTTGATACAAAGATCTCAGGTCGGAGAACACTGTCAGCTTTTTGTCTGCCGAACACGTGGTCTATTTTTAGGCATTGTCTAGTCTATGATGTCTATACTCTACTGCCTCATTTCACCAAATAGCTAACCTTTGACTTTCCCTTACTCCTCGCAATCTTCTTAACCGTCGTCTCACCACATAAATCCGTGGTGTCAACATGCGTTCCACCGCATGGATAAACCTCCGCTCCAACGATCCTCACAACACGAAACTTGGTCTCTCCGGGGCCCAAAAAGCTTGCGTCGGGGGTGAGGTGTTCAAGACCATTCTTGCGAAACTCTTCGGCGTCCCACCAGTCAATCTCAACTGGCATCTTGGCGGCCACGAATTCGTCCACTTTCTTTTGGATGGGCTCTTTGTGCTTTCCGTCGATGAGGCCTTGGAATTCGCATGATGCGGAGTCGGGGAAGTGAGAGGCTTTCAACTCTTCGAAACCTTCGACCGTATCTTTGAGGAGGTGGTTGACTGCTGAGCCGAGAACATGGCCGGCAGTGTGATATCGCGAGTAGAGAAGACGTTTCTCAACGTCAATTTCTTGCGTGACTTTATGTCCTTCTGTGAACTTCTTGTCCGAGTCAAATCTTCCGAAATGCAAGACCTGGCCATCACGAACAGCATCCATACGAGCAGATGCAACAGTGAACGACGCTCCAGACTCATCTGTCATCTTTCCGACATCCGAAGGCTGACCTCCTCCTTGAGGATGAAAGATTGTCTCTTCTGTGACGACTGCATAATCTTCATCGGTGCCCTGCTTAAATAGCTCACGATTCTCAGTTTCCAAACTGCCAAATGGCCGAATTGCCGTAATGAGTGTCTGTAAAGAATGGAGCTTTGCATTGCGCTGGAAAGTCAGCACAGTTCGTGCTGCTGATGCCATTTTGTGAGTGTGAAGAAGAAATCGAGATGATGAGGGAGATGGAAATATGCGAGGGCGGAAGAGGAAATAACTGAACGAATGAGAGAGGCGAGCACTAAAACAGAGGGGGTTTAGTGCTTAGGTTTCAGTGAATTACAGGGCGCGCCTTTACAGCTTATCGCTTATCTAATTGTTAGTGCAACACAGCCTAACCTAGAGAAGAAGGTATTTGTTGCTATCGTCACTTTTGGAAACAAAAAGTATCAAATAGAATAAATAAATATGAAGCCTACTTAGTATGTGACTGTGTTTGACGGATATTCATTGAAAGAGCTCCATGAGATCATTTACGTATCTATAGCCATGCATCTGGTGGTCTAGGTTGTGCTGTGGCTGAGCGGCTAGAATTGTTTTAATACGCCGCCTGTTGCATGCGGCTGAGATGTTTCGCGTACCAAAACGATGGAGACTCTCGCGATTCAACCTCACATCATCAGTCTCAATCACCCTCTTTTACTTCCAATTCTGATTTCTTTTGACCTATACTTGCTGAGAACTATCATCATTTGTGGCCCCACGAACTCACGATGCTGAAGCCGAAAGAGAGATTCTTCGCTCCCAGCGGTAATATTTTTCCGGGGGGCCCGAGCACTTGGCACATCATGGATTGGGACCAACGTCGCCTTGTATCCGTCACTATGGATGAAGAGCTGGAGTCAGAAGATCCAGCAATCGAACACATTCAGAAACATATCGATAATATCGCAGCCGATATCTTTGAGATCTGGGTTTCACCACAAGGTGATTTAGTCTCAACATCCACTGATCAGAAAGACGACAATGCTCGATGCCCATATCACCCTCCTCTGGAAGCGACCGAGCGTCCGGACGGAATTGAGGCGATTTCGAGGTCAGAACTGGAAGAGCTTGACCGACTAGGCCCACTGGTGGATCTTGTGAGATGCCTACGATCCTCGGATCCAGACAAGAAGGTAAGCACCTCCCAGAGACTGGCATGGATATCGAGGGTCTAAAAATAGTCATAGCTCGTGTTCAAGTATTACTTTCTTGACCAGCGCCTATCTTATGTATGGCATGAGATGAATCTTTGGATGCGTTTGCCAAAACATCCACATATCGTGGCCTTCGACAAGATCGTTGTGGATGACATTGAGGGTCGTTGCGTGGGTTTTACAAACGAATACGTTCCTGGAGGGACGCTTGAGGAGAATAAAACTCGGATGTTCAAACTCAAATGGCTGACTCAGTTGGTTGCCGCTGTCGATGAGCTTAATTTGAATCTTGGCATCGCTCACCAAGACATCGCTCCCCGCAACCTTCTTATCGACGAGGAAGCAGATTCCATAAAGATGTTTGACTTTAACTTCTCAGTTCGGATTGGAGAACCTGGCTACGCCGAATCGCGCAATGATATCAAGGGTATCATTTTCACTATTTATGAGATCATCACTCGCGACGAAACACTGCGTGCTGTCCGGCACGAGAAGCAAAACGTTCTGGAAATTGAACAGAAGGAATGGGTCCAGCACCCAGATGTCCGACTTGACCACCCGGTCTCGGAGTTTCGTAAGGTCCTCAGAGAGTGGTCTGAGAAGCGTCGCAGAGGCAAACAGATCACTACCTACACAGAAGCGCCCAACTTCATCGACTGGCCTGATATTCCTCAACCACCACTTTCCGAAACGTTCGTATACTACGACGGTAAACCTGCTACAAAGCTTTTAATGCTCTGGAGTACGGAGAGAAAAAAGTGGTTAGAACAAGGCAAGACGGTTCTGAACTGGCAACGGCCACCGCATTGCAAGCTGAAACCAGGTGACAGAATTCTGGAGACTGGAGAGTTTATTACGCGGGGCTAATATTTGGTATTTATGTACGGCAAGAAAGGTAGCGTGAACGGCCCTTAGACAATGTAGGTTGATTTTTCAGTGTCCCGAATGACTTTGAAAGGTCCAGCGGCCCCCGACAGTAGGGCCCAATTGATGGGAAGAGCTTACCAAACATACCGAAGCATCCCCGTGGCCTGAACTTTCAGTCAAAAAATACTTCATAAAACAGTCAAATCGGAACGTTACCGATATTTTGGTGATGTTATTCGGAAATTACCCCGCATGGAAACTTCCGATGCCTTTGTAAGTGCCGTTGACCTTTCGAAACCACCAACCATGTATCACGCGGGGTAGAATGTGTTAAAAAGCAGTGGATCGACCGCTGATTTAGGTGTATTACTGTGTATCAGATAACATTAACTTCTTCTGATAAGTGTGCAGAATGATTCTAGATCTCTTCCTTCAGAACCCATGGGCGTATCTGACAGCTGCGCTCGTCGGACTCCTTGTGACAAAGCTCGTGCTCAACAAGTACGGCAATGGATTGAACGGGATCCCCGGGCCAGCTTTAGCGGCTTTCACGGACCTCTGGCGCTTTCTCGATGTTTACCGAAGGCGACCAGAGGTGACGCAGATCGCTCTACATGAAAAGTACGGCAGCGCCGTGAGACTCGGACCCAACACAGTATCGATCGCGGATCCAGCTGCTATCCAGACAATATACGCTCATAACTCGGGATATACCAAGTCAGATTTCTAGTAAGTCACCGAGGCGACGAAAAGAGCGATGCGGATTGACAAGTGGTAGCCCGGTGCAGCAGACCATCAACAAGAGCGGCAAGAGACTCATCACGCTCTTCACCTCACAAGATGAAAAGTTCCACTCGCAACTTCGACGATCCGTATCGAATGCTTATGCTATGAGTACCCTCGTTCAGTTCGAGCCATTCGTCGACTCTACGACCACCGAGTTCTTTAAACAGCTTGACCAACGATATGCAAACCAGAACGACGTCCTTGACTTTGGAACATGGCTACAATACTATGCCTTCGACGTCATTGGCGAACTAACATACTCAAAACGGCTCGGATTCGTGGACCATGGAAAAGACGTGGATAACATCATTGGAAATCTTGAATGGTTGCTCAACTATGCAGCACCTGTATGTACGCCAATAACATTGACAAGGTCTACTAATCTGACGGCCATATAGGTTGGACAACTACCGATCCTTGATAGCTTACTCCTCAAGAACCCGCTGAGACTACAGCTCACGAAATGGGGCTTCACCAATTCATCTTCTCCGGTTGCGATATTCGCACGCAACCGAATGCTCGCCCGCGTTGATCCGGAGAAGCTGGGCGACATGAAGTTCGACCAAGACAATGGCCGTCGAGACTTTCTCTCGCGCTTCCTCGAGGCCAACCAGAAAGACCCGGAGTTCATGAACAACGATAGAGTGCTCGCTCTGACCGTAGCAAATATGTTTGCAGGCTCTGACACCACAGCGATTACTTTCCGAGCTATCTTTTATTATCTGATGAAGAACCCCGCTGATATGAAGACTTTGATGGCTGAGCTTGCGGAGGAAGAAAAGGCTGGCCGATTCGCCCGTGAAGATGGTCTTGTCAGTTGGAACGAAGTTCGAGACCTTCCTTTCCTCAACGCTGTTGTTAAAGAAGCTCTTCGATGCCATCCCGCTGCAGGTCTCATGCTAGAGCGTATTGTGCCTGCGCGAGGTCTTGAAGTCGACGGTCATCATATCCCAAGCGGTACAATTGTGGGAGTCAACGCTTGGGTTCTACATCGCAACAAGGATATCTTCGGTCACGATGCAGATCGATGGAGACCGTCGAGATGGATTGAAGCTTCGACTGAGCAAAAGAGACGCATGGAGAACTATATGTTTGCATTCGGTGCAGGCTCGAGGACTTGTATTGGAAAGAATATCAGTTTGCTCGAGATGTACAAGATGGTTCCAGCGTTACTGAGACGATACGAGGTAAGTTTCAATGTCGATTGAAGTTCCATTTACTGAGACATCGGCCTAGCTTGAGTTCCCATCGGCGGATAACACTTGGCATCTGAACAACGGTAAGCTTCTTCCTATCCTAGCTCTTTCGAACATCTGCAAGCACCACCTTATGATACCCCTTCTTGATACTGACTTCAATATAGCATGGTTCGTGAAGCAGAGTAACTTTAATGTCCGGCTCAGGCGAAAGCATAAAATATCATTCCTCCCAGACGAGAGACAGGATTGAACTACTACAGAAGTAGGGAATTGGTCGTTGAATACTATTGAACACAAAGGCATTTGAGAGGATGCTTGTTCGTGATGTTTATCTTTATGATGATGAACAGTAACACCTTATGTCACATACGACCATAGCTCGTAGAAAATACGGGATCCCGTCTGCTCTCCCATAGTCAAGCTGCGAAGCGCTGGATTAGTAGTTGGGTCGGTGACGACCAGCGAATCCCCGGTGTTGTATGTTTTTTTGCAGTTGATCAAGAATATTTTGCTGTATTGGCTCGGTATATCTCGTGGAGATATTACAAGTTTTGACTATCATCGATCAGCAAATGCTCACGATGATAGAGTTCAACTTGGCCCGGAGCAGATACTCCGCATCTGATAAGATAAGAGATGTCAGCTTACGGAGTAGACTTTTCCGATTCGCTTCCTTTCTCCACATTCCCTCACTTAGCAAGTACTACGCCAGAAACAATGTCACCATCAAAGACCCGCGCTCCGCGAGTTGAAACCGACGTCTTACTGGCCATCAAGCCCGAACATTTGGCAAACATTATCAGCCGAGAAAAGAACCATGAGTATCGCAATTATCGTCTAAAAGACGGTGTCCTGCGCCTCTGGCTTTACGAAACTGGCAGTGGAGGCGGTCGCTCATCAAGCACGTATGTGCAGCACACCAACACTACTCTTACCAGAGACCAGAATAATTAGACTAACTAATTATTAGACACATAGCTGTGATCCGGCCAAGTACCCGCCATGAGCCAGGTTCTGTGCCGATCGAGCCTTTTGGTATTGACAATGAAGACTTTAACGCTGGACGAAAGGAGTCCAAGTACGGATATCCGATACTGGAGCTTTATGAACTCATGAACCCAGTTACTCTCAACGAAATGAAGACTAGATAGAGCATGGGTGGTGCACCTATGGGATGGCAGTATGTGGCATCAGATCTCTGGGAGGATAGATGGGGCGAGGATGAGGAGAGACGTGAGAAGGTGAAGAAGTTGTTTTAAAACATAACGTCAGTTGCTGGGCGTTTGGTGTTGATACCATGGAAGTCTATGATAGCTTTACGCTCTGGGAACTTTTAAGACTCATTCTATCCAATTGTTCTGCTTCAGCCATGCTTCGCACATAACCGGCCACTTTGATACAGGCAGCTCCTTCGGACTATCCAGCGCAAACCCGTGAGGCGCATCAGCGAAGATGTGTAACTCGACAGGTGCTCCGCTTTTTGTAAAGGCGTCTGCTAAGCGATATGCGTTGACGACAGGTACAACTGGATCGTTGTTGGAGTACACGATGAAAACCGGCGGCGCAGGAGATCGGAGCTGAACATCTGGCTGTACAACGTCGTACAGTTCTTGTTTTTCCTTTGGTGGAAGAGGAGGTTTGTTCTCAATAATGGTACGGCCCGCTGCATTCGTCGAAATAGGGCCGTAACCCAATATGGCAAACTCGATCTGAGGCATTTCGGGATCTGGTGATGTCCAGACTTGAGGATACTCTGATAGAAGAGCGGCGCCGAGATGACCGCCAGATGAGAGGCCGCAGATGCTAATACCCCTTGGCGCAAGTCCACTCTCAGTCATGATCTTCAGAGCTCTTCTCCCATCATCCAACGGTGCCTGAGCACCTGTTTCGCTGTTAGGGAAGCGATGCACCAGGACGAATGCGTAGAAGCCAAGACTGTTGAGCCATTTTGCGACGGCGACGCCTTCGCGACCGACCATGAGTTGAACATATCCTCCACCTCCGAAGATGAGAATACCGCGGCCGTTTGGGTTTGAAGGGCGATAGCCGAATAAGAAAGGGCGATTCACTTTGGTCACGACGGCGTTGTCACCTGGGGTATCGAGATCGAATGCTCCGTCGAGGGAGTCATTGCCCCATAAAGGCCAAGATTGATCCGAGTCGAGCATAGTGAACTAATTGTAGTTGTACTGGTGCCATAGGAACTAAAGACAAGATCACCTAGAGAAAATGGCGACGGCAAGATATGATGTAGGCTCGTGGGGTTTCGTGTGGAGATGGAGATTGGGCCTCGCGGGAACATCCAACCGAGATGCCGAACATTGGGGGTTGGGGTTTTAGACGATACCCTTCTCTCCACATAGCGATTCCAGGTGCACTCGGCTTGTCGCGTACTTGCCACGCCTCTGTAGTGACTCTGATAATGAATTTGAGATTGTTTTCTTGGTCCGAATATGTTTGGATTACTTGATACACTTTGTAGGCCCGCCTATTATAATACTGACACTAACCCGTTCACCACCATTCCTCGATCCTCTTAGCTTGTAGTCGCATCAAAAGCAAGGAACGTAGAAGCCTTTCCAGCCTCATCCTTATCCTGCGAAATGTTGTTCTGCAACTTCTTGTTCTCCTCCGCCAGCTTATCAGCGACATCCTCACCCTGCGCTTGCTGAGCCTCTAGCTTGAGGATAGTAGCGGTCAACTTCAGGACCTTGTTCTTAATCTTTCCGCGCTGCGAAACAGTTAGCATTATCTCTCTATTGATCTTCAATGGAAATCCTTACCTGAAGAGCATCGGCTGCTTCGCCGGAAGCTGCGTCGATAGCAGGGTTGAAGGCCTCATCCTCAGCATCATTCGCGATCTGGTTGACACTGTTGAGGAAGTCCAAGTCAGACTTTTCAACCGTTGACAGGTCCGTTGGCAGACCGCCAAGCTTCTGCAGAGCTTCTTGCTGGGCGTTGCCTGCGGTGCCACCGCTGATGGAGAGATCGTAATATGTTGTCTGGCTGAAGACAGCGCGCTTGCTGATGGGGCTGGCGATAGCAGTGGCAGCGAAGCCAAGAAGGAAAGAGGTGAACTTCATATTTGCGTTTGAGATTTGATGCACTGAAGGGGACGGATGTTGAACGAGATGGAGGGTGTGAGTGCAGTAGAACAGACCAGCTGTAAGAAGTGAAAGTGAATTGAGTTTGTGATATTAAGACTGAAGATGGAATAAGTGGCAGTGCCGTCGAGTCTTTGTATGCGACAGAAACATCGCAAAAGAGACTCTCATTGGCGCTAAATGAGCATGAGACGTTTCCCACGGAGTATCTTTATGCTTCATTTTCAGGATGAACCTATTCTAGGGTGTAAGCGCCGTGGTAAAACAGTGTATCCTCGTTGGTGATCATACTCGCGCTGCCGAGGAGTAGAACTGAAGACCGGATGAGCGGTGATCCGAAAGTGCCCTAGTTGATATTCACTATAGTTTATCGGTTGGCGGAAACGTCAAATGTTAGATCTGGGCCAATGTCGCAATTCATCCTTGGCGTTACTCCATTTTGGTCAAGGAGCCAGGGGTATCCCTAAGTGTCGCGCATGGTTTCATCGTGCGTCAGATCGCAATTGAGACAATCCACTGCCTCAGGTTCACTCCGTGAGTTCATCCCGAGTATTGAGAAACTTTTAACTCTAAATACGCGCTTTACGAAACTTATATCTATTGCGATGCGCTGCGACTTGCGGAGCGAGTCATGGGTCTTGCTGCTGAAGCTTCGTTTGCAGTTGCATATGATGGCTTCTCACCGACAACTGAGCAACTTACTTCAAGCGGCAACTTAAGTCCTAAAGACAATCTATTTGGGAAGTATGTTACGGTGCACTTGATTGTTGACAGCGGAAGACCGTGTTGTGCGTAGATGGCCTGTTGACGAAGTTCCAAGGACGTATACTCTGCTGCAAGGAGACTTAGAGTAAAGTCGAGAAGCAAAAGCATTTAGCATAAGAGTAATTGAAGAAAATACCTCTAAGAAAAGTGGTATAAAGTGTCGGAGCTTGCAGTATCGGCGCGGACTGGCGATCGGCTTTGCGGACGACTTTTACACGGAAATCCGATGACGCGTGGCTCGGGCTTACGCTCAATCAGCGCAACCGATCCTTCCACTCCACTCCATCCATGTCAGACGCTATAAACAAGCTTAAAAGGTTGAATAATCACTCTATATGATGAAATTTCATTGGGCAGTACGAGTAATATCCCGATGATCGGCATTACGAGGCTGTGTTACACTCATTCTGCGGCCACCTTGGCTATGTTGATGATGATGAATGCTGCGTTGCCGAGAGCCAAGGTCAGCTTTGTCTGCAGGTCGTTGTGCTGAAGGATCATGATTACCAATTGCATGATATAAAATATGAGTATAAATACTTGGAGATGCTAGAGCTTGAAGATTTCTGTAAACCAGAGGACAGGAACATCGATCAACCGACACCATGAAACTTGCATCTTGGAGCATTCTTGCTGGTCTAGCAACTGCCTTTTCAACCAACCCTCCAGATCAATATGAGTACATCATCATTGGATCAGGACCTGGTGGAGGGACTTTGGCGTGAGTATTTACTCTCTGACCAAGCTTTGCTAACAATTCCTTGAGTGCAAACCTCGCGCGTGCCGGTCATTCAGTCTTTCTGATAGAGGCTGGTGGTGATCAGGGCAATACACCACTGCAGCGAATCCCCGCAATGTGAGTGCAACTAGGGCTTCTCAATGTTGACTTGTCTCACAACGTCCAGGGCGGATGTAGTCGCTGAGCATCCAAGCATGTCATGGTCCTTCTACGTAAACCACTACCAAAACGAAACTCAAGCTCGAAGAGACTCCAAATATGCTTACAGACTATCCAACGGAACCCTGTGGTCGGGTATCGACCCCCCTGAGGATGCTGAGCCGTAAGAATCTCCTTTGCTATCAAATTGCCTGCTCTAACTTGATAGGCTCGGTATACTCTATCCTCGAGGTGCAACACTTGGCGGGTCTACTCAACTCAATGCCATGAACTTTGCTTTGCCACCTGATAATGATTGGGATGCCATCGCCGAACTTACTGGGGACGAGTCATGGAAGTCCGACAAAATGAGGGAGCTGTTTATCGATATCGAGAAATGTACTTATGTCCCAGAGGGGACTCCTGGCCATGGGTTTGACGGCTTCATCCAGGTACGTGGTCGGGTGTAAGGCCTACCAATCGCTAACAAGCCGCACAGAGTAACCGGAACAACATCTCTTATATCACTGATCGTCCTGGCGTCGTGCAATCTCTGAAGCGTGCTTTTGAGCAAACTGAAGGGATTCAAGTCGACGATGCCGCCGAAGTTGGTCGACTAATGCAACGAGATATCAACTGCCTGGATAAAGGTCGATACTCGCCTGGAATCTACCAGATTCCCCTCCACGTGGACAGTCTTCGACAGCGAACTGGTGCATGGCGATATCTACACGAGACGATGAATGCTAAAACAGCAAATGGATCTGTTCTGTATCCTTTGACTGTCAGCACCCATTCTCTGGCTACCCGCGTGCTGTTCAAAGACAGCCAAAACGGCAAACCGCAGGCCTTTGGTGTAGAGTATCTCAAGGGCGAAGGGCTGTACTCTGCGGACAAACGCTACGATGAGTCTGAGTCTGGTCGCTTGGTTAACGTCACCGCATCGAGGGAAGTGATCGTGGCTGGCGGTACGTTCAACACGCCCCAGATACTCAAGCTTAGTGGCATCGGCCCTCGGGAAGAGCTTGAGAGTCTTGAAATTCCGGTCGTTATGGATCTCCCTGCAGTAGTAAGTCTTTCGTTTGATGGTCCTAGATACAACTGACAAGGACAGGGCAAATATCTGCAGGACAACTACGAGGGTGGCGTGACAGTCGAAGCTTCTGTGCCGTGGGAGAATAATCCCTTTGAGAACTGTTCCTTTACACTTGAAGCCAATGACACATGCTATCAAGAGTGGAACCAATCTCATACCGGTGCTTACGGCGAAGGAGCAGCTCCGATTTCACTTCTCTATAGATCCAGCGTCAGCGAGACAAACGACACAGATCTGTACCTCTTCGGAGCAGCTGGGACTGTGTTCCGTGGATATTTTCCTGGGTATTCTACTTGGCAGGCCCCTCCAACGTCTTGGTTCTGGTCCATTGTCAAGATGCAGACAGGCAACCAAGCTGGAACTATCACTCTCCGCTCCAAAGACCCCCGACAAGCACCAGAGATCAACTTCAACTACTTCGCTGAGAAGGGGGATCGAGATCTCCAGGCTATCCAGGAAGGCGTAGAGCATACCATGCGTATCTTCAACGCTACCGGTGAACCTTACGCTCCATTCAATATTGTTGAGCCTCGGCCCGGCGTGAGTATTCGGCAGGGTATCATGGATGATGCATTCAGTCACCATGCGACTTCATCTTGTCGCATGGGACCTGCTGGCGATAGGACCTACTGCGTTGACTCGGAATTCAAGGTTAATGGCGTCGATGGACTTAGAGTTGTGGATGCTTCGGTCTTTCCACGTACGCCGGGAGGATTCCCTGCTGCGCCTACGTTTATGATAAGTCAGAAGGCCTTTGGAGTGATCATGGGAAGTATCCGGGGCTAGTATGAGAGGGAGGGGAGGACCTGTGAGTTCCTGGCTCGGATAACCATGTTCATTTTAAGATACATGCATCTTTGGAGGTGCCAAGTGTTCTGTGAGGGGGAGACTCTATCGTGTACTGTAGATCTATGGAGGCCATATTCAAGTTCTTCCCATCGTACAATTCTCTTTCATCCGTTCAATACTTCTTGAACAACTTTTGATACTTGGAAAGTGTCTTCTTGTCTCCCTTCCAAACACTCTTTGCGTCATCCACTGCATCGATATGCTCGCCAATATAGGTAGCGACCATCCCATTTCCATGAGCTGATTTATCAATGAAGACATGCTCATCCGGTTCAACGACGTTGACATAGTAAGGGTGAGAGAGCATATCAATCAAGACATCGGAGGACTCGAAAAGGAACATGGCAATCCCATCAAAGTCTACCAGCTGATTGGACACTGGCTGAGTGGCGCCCGCATCGGTAGGAACAATCTTTCCTGCGACTCGTACCTGATATGGCAGAACGACACACCGGTAAGCAGTTATTCGCCTTTTCGGGGCGAAGTTGTGAGGACATACCTGTTGGTAACGAGCGATACCAAAGTGCGTTGCCAGAGGGATCACCTTCGGAGCATGCTGGGTATCCCAGTACTGCCAGAACTCGTCGAGCGTCATATTGGGATTACGCTTGACGTAAGTGACCATCTGGAGCAGACCAGTGTTTGAAGGAGGACCCTTTGGTGATGCATAGGTGTTGCTGCAAAGGGCGGTGGTAATAAACAAAAGAGAAGCGAGTTGGTTCATTTTGGGCGTCTTGATTAAGTGAGAGGATGATAATGGAGGATACTGCCATGAGACAGCTCTACGGATTTCAGAGGTATTTATTGACGAGAGCAACCAACCGTGAGACGTTACGAGAATGTGACAAGAGAGTCCGGCTGCATTAGATCTGCCTGAACCTTGGCATCTGGTGCAAGATTCCTTCAACCAACAAGATCTGGAAGCAGGCATCGATATGGTTTTCAGCCAGGATGCTCAACTCAGATACCTCCATGCAGAGTCCAGAATATGCAACCCCTGTATAGACTTCTATTGACCTTCCGAAGCGTCAAATATGTCTCATCTAAATGGTTGAGTTGGCCTTGCACGAGCCAACCGCGATTATCCAATCCACTGAAGAATTCTCTTCCGCATTCCAACCTCCAACATTGGCTAGAAAGATCAACCAGCACGGATCCAAGGAACTGTAAATCATGTGAGATCCCTCAGTTGGTCAAACAGATTTGGTCCGCTCCCCTTGCCAAGACATGGCTGACCCGACCCGCCAATTGGAGACGCTATAGACTCCTATTGACACCCATTTCGGGACATATCACCTGGACAAACACTTGAGACATGCAAGTGATAAGGCTTGCACTAGAACAACTATAACCAACGACCTTGACGGACTCCGACAATAGTAGTACGTACATCGGATGTTTCTGGGTGAGGCCCCGGGGACCTTAGCTGATGTATCTCTCTACATGTTAGAAGTAAGGGTGACAGCACTATGGCCAAGGTGAACAAGTTCTGTTGGCCTCGCTGCCCTCATCCGTTGAAACTGTTTGTCCATAGTGGACCTTCCCATCCACTAGCTCAGCAAACTCGCAAGGTGAGGATTTCGGATCTACGCTGAATAGCAATGAACCAACACAAAACGCACTGATCAAATCAACCATCCCTACATATAATCCCAAGACAATTCTTTCCGTAGAAATGGACTCATCATATCTGACATGTCTTCTTATCCAGTTACCAACGGGGTGATCACTTTTCTGCCGCCGCCGGAAGGATACGTCGTCGACTTTGACAATCCTCAGCAGCAAGATGCACTCAAACATTTTCTCATCTTCGGCATCTTCGGGTCTCTGGCCATTCTGTGTCTGTTGCAGAGGCTATATGTAAAGTATTACATAATGCGCGGGTTGAAGATTGACGATGGTATGTGATAGCTCAATCCGAGGGACCTGTAGCTAACCTGGTGGCTTAGTCTTGATCACACTGGCATGGGTATGACATCAAGTGAAAAGTAGAAGGAATACGAGACTAATGTTGTGACCTAAAGATTTTCTCTATTGTCATGCAGTCGGCTCAGATATGTGAGTACACTCCGTCATTGTCTTATGCCTCTGCTAAAGACTGAAGGGTCAATATCTATCGGAGGTCTATGCCATCATGCATGGGAAATGCCCATTGACGTCTTTGAGAAGCATATGCTGGTATGGTCTCCACATGAACGTCTTGCCAATCTTCTTACACGCCATAGAGTTCTTACATCGCCGCTCCAGCGTTCATCATCTGCAACGGTCTGACGAAAAGTTCGCTTCTGACTTTCTACCTTCAAGTGTCCCCGCAGAAATGGTTTAGAAGAGCGATATTTGTGACCATCACTTTCGTTGTTCTATACACCATTATCATCGCCAGTCTACTGCTTTTCGGATGTCAACCAAGAGAGACAGCATGGGATCCCTACTTATTCGCTAGCGGAAAGTGCATTAACTATGCCGTCATGTACATAATCATCGCTGTCGCCAACATCATCTCAGATATAGTTCTCTTCGCCATTCCTATGCCGATGATTATTCGCTTGAAGATGCCGCTGGGACAGAAAATTGGCCTGGGTATTATGCTCGGCATTGCTACCATGTAAGTTCACTTCGACACGGCACTATCGGCGACTAACAGCAGCAGAACTGTCACGACGTCTATTATCCGCATGATCTACTTACCCTCACTCTTGGGAGCATTAGATATCCCATGGATCGCAGCCCCGGCAAATGTCTGGTCATTCGTGGAAGTCAACCTCTTCATTATATGTGGCTGCATGCCGACATTTCGCAAGTTCTTCAAACGCTTCGCACCGAAATGGATGGGCTCTTCAAGCGACTCAGGCAGTTCAGAGCCACCTTCAAACGATTCGCTGCATAAAGTACAGAGGAAGAAGCATACAGGCTACTCTCAGTTTGACACATGTGGTTCTTTGGAACTGGCGACCTACCCCGACACCGTGAGCCGAACAACCCAAATTACGGCAGGGAGTATTTGCAGTGGAGTGATGGGAAACAGGTTGGATAATGCGAGCGAAGAAGCAATATTGCAGCCAACCAAGATTGTGTGCACAAAAACGTACAACGTCTCACACGGCGAATAGGAATAAATAGGAATCAATTTGACACCGTTATTTGAACATCATTTTCACAAGCAAACTCTGCACAAGACATGCCGTGCTCCGACTTCGCAACGTTGCTGTGGTGTTGGTCGTGTTGCACAAGCTCCCAAAACAGTGAACAAACACGTCGATCATTAACCGATCCCGATCGGCTACGTCAACGCGACTGTCAAAGCAAGGGCGCATTCTGAGCTTATATCCGTCCAAAAGCCAACCTTTGATCCGCAATCCTTCCGGCTAACCGCAATTGTTCATTCTACTTACTATCAAACAAATCGATTGCGAAGATGTCGTCTTCCTCAGAGACAGCATATGCCATGGAGTCGTTGCAGGAACAGCGGTGCGGAACCGATAGTCCGCCTGATACCGAACGCCAGGAAAATGTGTCTCCGTCACCGACAGATTCACTCCCCCCTACGGACCGCGGCAAAGATGCGTATCTGACTTTGATGTGCTGCACAATGGCACAGCTCCCAATCTGGGGTATCCATCCTCTTCGCCATCACACTTCAAGACTAACAGATCCCAGGCTACTCCGTCTCTTTCGGCATCTTTCAAGAATACTACAGCCGACCCGGAAGTCCCATCAGCACAGCCTCATCCGGAACAATCGCCACCATCGGAGCACTACAGCAAGGTGTAATGTATCTCATGATGCCGTTTGCTTTCCTCGTTCTCACGCGGTATCCGCGCCTGCGTCACCTTTGCGGGCCGCTTGGTCTTGCAGTGACGGTCGCTAGTCTTACTGCATCTGCGTTTGTGAACACTATCGCGGGGCTTATTGCGACACAGGGGGCGCTGTACTCTATTGGCTGTGGGCTTTTGTTTTGCCCGATCTCGCATTACATGAATGAGTGGTTTGTTGAGAGGAAGGGGATGGCGTTGGGGGTTATGTGGGCTGGCAAGTCGGGCACAGGTATGACTCCAAATTATCTGCTCCAAGACCGTATATTGACAGAGTGAAGGTATTGCGATGCCGTTTGTCTTTGATGCTCTTCTTCGCCGGGTCGGTCTCAAGGCGACTCTCTTGGCCTGGGCGGGTGCATCAGCCGCAATGACTCTCCCGACTCTCGTTTTCATCAAACCACGGATCCCATTGCACACTCAGGCCCAGGTTCAACCGCTATCATTCCGCTTCCTCCGCCATACATCTTTCTGGATGATGCAAGCCAGTGTGATCATACAATCACTGGGATATCTCATGCCAAGCACGTACCTAGCCAGCTACGCATCAACGATCGGTCTACCCAGCATAACCGGTCCTATCTTGCTTGCGCTGTTCTCTGTAGCATCAGTCCCTGGCGGTATCGTGCACGGCATGTTGGGTGACAAATTCTCAGCAACAAAAGCCGTAACAATCGCATCCATAGGAAGCGCCCTGCCAATTTGGCTTCTCTGGGGCTTGTCGCTCGACCTAGCAAACTTGGTAGTGTTTGTAATTGTCTACGGCTTCTTTGCCGGCGGGTTCAGCTCAACGTGGTCAAACATGTCGACCGACATCCAAAAAGACGACTCCGCCGCTGATTCAGCTCTCATTTTCGGCATGCTCATGGGCGGACGAGGTATCGGCTTTGTCACGGCCGGGCCATTGAGCGGCGCATTGCTACAGGCAAAAGCACATCTGTCCAACGAGGCACTTGGTTACGCGACGCAATACGGACCCATGATCATCTGCACAGGTGTCACTGCTGTGTTTGGTGCTTGGGCGCCCATGTGGAAGGGCATGCGAGTTGCTCTAGGAACATGCAAAGGTCGCTGAGGTTTCGCGGGCAATGTTTCATGCACGTTTGGAATGATGAGCTTGTGCGGGGCGATGAAGATAACTGGGTCAACGGCGTACCTCGGTCAATAAAACATCAATCACGCTGATTGATAACAAGGTTCATCTCAATGAGGGGAAAACGTGGCCTTGGCCCGGACTTAGGCTCGGCTTTAGTGTAATCTTGATACCTTGATGTCATAAGCAATTCGGTTCGGCAGATGGAACGGCAAAGAAGGATTCAGTATAAGCACTTCATAAGAACCCCGATGACACCAAGAACAATATGTAGGCAACTGAATTAATGCGTGTGCGTGTTGCTAAACTCCAAACTCCATTATCTCCTACAAAGTAGACGTCATTAAAGCCCGGAAGTGACTGTTCGCCGGTCTCTGCCCCGCTATCTTGAATTATTAATACTAACGCCCCAATTACAGACGTTGGCCTGTTTGAGGCTGGGATAGTCCCAGGCATTGAGTCCTCTGATTGGCTTGACGATGAGAGTTGCTACGCTAAACTGTCGTCAATTGTTTGCGTGGAGCCATCATCGTTGTATCAACCATCTCAATACCCCTCATTTCGCTTGGACCATCCCGAATGACATCAATTCCATTTCTATAAGAAAACCGCCCCTCCTCCTACCATCAAATCTCCATCGCCATCACTTCCACTCAACCCCAATCACCAAAATGCCTGTTGAAACCGCCTACGACCCCAAGGACATGCTGTTCCGCCACCTGGGACCTACTGGTCTCAAGGTCAGTGTCTTCAGTCTCGGCGGCTGGTTGACCTACGGCGGTACGCAAAAGGGCGACATCGTGAAGCAAATTCTTCAAAAGGCTTGGGACCATGGTGTCAACACTTTCGATACCGCTGAGGTTTATGCCAATGGTGAATCTGAAGTCGAGATGGGCCGTGCTCTTAAGGAGCTCGGCTGGCCTCGTGATGAGTAAATACCCCCAAGCACCCAAACTCGATTTATACTGACTTTTCTAGGTATGTCCTCACCACAAAGGTCTTCTTCGGTACTGGGCGCAAAGAGCCCAACACTCGAGGTCTTAGCCGCAAGCACGTCGTCGAGGGTCTCAAGAGCTCTCTTAAGCGTCTTGAGCAGCCTTACGTCGATGTTGTCTTTGCCCACCGTCCCGACTACGCTACTCCCATGAAGGAGATTGTTGAGGGATTTACTCAGGTCATTCGCAACTTGAACCTTGCTTACTACTGGGGTACTTCTGAGTGGACCGCTGCTCAGATTACAGAGGCTACTCACATTGCTGAGCGCTACAACCTCATTGCTCCTGGTAAGGCTTTTGATAACTAATATTGCGACAGATGCTAACCGTTGTACAGTCGTTGAGCAGCCTCAGTACAACGCTTTCCACCGTGAGCGCTTCGAGGTCGAGTACGCTCCTCTCTTCAACCAATTCGAGTACGGCACCACAATTTGGTCCCCCCTCGCCTCTGGTCTCTTGACCGGCAAGTACAACAATGGAATTCCCGAGGACTCTCGATTTGCCACCAACAAGGCCTTCTTCGAGAACACCGTCAACGAGCTTCAAACTGAAGCTGGCAAGGCCAAGATCGAAAAGGTCAAGAAGCTCTCCGAAGTCGCTGAGCGTCTCGGCGGAAACGTCGCCCAGCTGTCTCTTGCATGGGCTCTCAAGAACCCCAACGTCAGCACAGTCATTCTCGGTGCAACCAAAGTTGAGCAGCTTGAGGATAACTTCAAGGCGCTTGAGATTTATAAGAAGATCGATGATAAGGTTTTGGAGGAGATTGAGAAGATCCTTGATAATAAGCCTAAGCCTGCTCCTACTTTCAACCGCGAGAGGTAAATAAAAGTTTTGGTATGGTCCAGATATGAATAAGAGATCAATAATGAACGAATATGAGTTTTGAGCTTGTTGCGATGAGTAACGTGATTGATGAGATGTTTATCCTTGATCCACAATGGTTCTTATCGTTGGTGACTGATTGGACAGACCCTACGTAGCATCGTGTGCCACAGCATGCGTGCGTGAATAAGGTTGATTATAAGGAAACTTAACCCCAACTCAAAGGTCAAGAAGCAGTATTTATTAATTTCATGGCATATCGCGCGATTGCCGTGTATAGCCACTGTTAGCTCTTATGAAAAGAACTGATGGAATGATAAGTAAAGTTATATGAAGTAGATCACGCCGACATTGAGAATTTCCATGTAGCTCAAGCTCCAGGCAAGTCATTTAATTTGTGTGAAGGTAATCTCTGGCTTAAATTACGATAAACCTTTGAAAATGGTCAAACAAAAATCTTATTTCGCTGTTCAGGGTACAAGAAGCCCTTGGCCCCTCACTGCGACAAGAGATAGATTCCAATACAGGACCTTGATCGCGGACAAATGTTGGCCGCCAACCATATCGTGAACATGCTTGAACAACTACCCCAAGAGATCTTGGATTTAATCTTTAGTCTGGTAAGATAGAACTCTACCCCTCTTGCTGCACAGACTCTCACAAACTCCGACTCTAGCTATCCATGGACGACGTCAAAAATCTTTCTCTGACGTCAAAGCACCTCCATTCTGCTACTCTTGAAGCCGTCTGGGAATCTATAGTCATACCAGCCTGGAACAAAAATGGTATTTTTGGAATCAAACTCGCCGACCTTCCGCTTGATCGAATTCTCCTCGCCAGACATATTGATCTACGGTTCATAGATGAGGACTATTCTAGAATTTGTCTACACAGTCAAAAACTACAGCTCTGTCGAGAACCAGCCGATGAAAGCATTATTGCTAGGCCAGCAGCCTTCAGTAGTGTTGAAGAAATCATCATCTCACTACTAGAGGAATGTGAGAAGGATCATTGGAAGTCATTCAGGTTTGTGAATCACCTGCCTGAATAAGAACCCAAGATGAATACTGATGCAATCTAATCAAGCTGGGATCTAGGAACATGTATACCGGCGTCAGTCTTAGGAACTAACGGTATAGCCGCCCGTCGGCAGTCTGAATTGAGTAACTTGAAGTTGACAACTCATCTTTACTGTCCTCAACGCAGAAGGCCCCCCGAGACAGCGATCGACCTGTCCGCCTTTACCCATCTCCTGGATATCAGTTGGAGAGGACCGAATTCAGAAAATCTCAAAACATTGGCCATTGCGCTTAGAAATAATAAGTCGCACCTTTAATCATTGGAACTCGACCTCATCAACTGCCCGCACATGCGAAGGGAGCTGGGGTATCAAAATGATAGCGAGGTGGCACACGGGCTAAAAGCAAGAGACTACATAAACGAAACGGTGTTCGGCCTTGACAAGCTTTCTCCTTGCATCAAGTTCCCAAACTTGCATACCATAGTTCTGAGCCACGTTCCTCTGAGCGCAGCTCTGGCAGAGACTGTCGACTTTGAGATTCTCAAATCTCTAACGATCCGGTCATGTCCACTGTGGTATGAGTTTGTGCTAATAATGGCACAGCAAAGTCCCAGTCGAGCTAATAAAGCTGGAGCTCCAGGAATCATGGCCCAAGAACGACGAGGGATCGATATACATGGACGAAGACGATCCAATTGCATTTTTGCTGGATTCCTTTGAAGGACTTGAAGAGTTTTATCTCAGCCAAATCGGCGGGATGCGTTCTATACTCACATGGCATCATGTGTGTCATCATAAATCCACATTGAAGATATTTGTGAACCATTCGAGGTTCTATGAAGAACGCAACCGACGCTGGTGGGATCAGCCAGATATGATGCTTCGTGACTGGAATACGACACCATTCAGGGACGACCCAACCTCTACGCCTCTCTATCGGCTGGATACCGAGTTCATTAGCTTATCTTGCGCGCCCAAATTTCTGGTAAGACCCAAGACCTTTTTCCTGATCAAATGCTAACTGATTTAGAATGATGTAATAAACCCCTTTCTCCATTCCTTGTCAGATACTGACAACTATAGAATTATGTATTGAACCCTTTCTCCAGAAAGGAGTGTCTGAAAATCGTTCACCTCCGCCAATCGCGTAGCGACATAGGCCCTGATTCTGAGACTTGGGCAGTCACGATAGTAGAGGACGAAGAACCCATCGATAATGCTCCAGCGGTGGACGAAGGTGATAACCCTAGCAAAGAGTATTTGCACTGTGCGTTCTGGACATTCATTCAGCGGGTCTTCTCTCCCAAGGGTATCAAGTCCCTGGAGTACATCGTGTTCGGTGACTATGGCCGACCTGAACGAACGAGCAGGGGGAACTTGCTGATATGTCGGGAGCGTTATGGATCGCAAGATTCCCGCATCATTAGAGAGTCATGCCCAGAACCTGAATGGTACTATATCAAGAAGGAGTACGGGGATGCTCTGAGGTCATGTCCCTCAGATCCGTTGTTTGACACGCCAGAAGTTCAGCGCTATAAACACCGGTGGGCTCAATTCATAGCAAATGTAACAAGATCCCCGTAGCAACATTAGAAATATTCCCAACCACGTCCCAAAAGTTCGTGTTACTCGTATTCCTCGTCTGCTCCAACTCCCTAATCCTCGCCTCCATCCTCCTCTTCTCCAAGCCATGCGCCGCAACCTGCGCCGAGTTCGCCTCCCTAATCTGCCTATTCAACCTCTCAACCTCCCCCCTCCACCTTCCCGCCTCATCCACCGCCCCTCTCTGCCTCTCTTCAATCTTCCTGATCGTCTCATCATACTCCGCCCTATCCTCCGCACGCGCAGTCTCCATCTCCAGCTTCAGCGCGCTGACCATGCGGTTCGATTCTGCCATAGCAGCTTGAAATCGCTCGTTGGCATCTGCGCGCTCGGTACTTAGTCGGGTTTCCAGATCTTGGATCTTGGCTTCTCTTGCCTTGCGTTCGCGCTCTAGACGGACGAGCTGGTCGTTGAAGGCTTGTTCCATGCGGCGCTGCTGTTCGCGGCGGTCGGCGTGGAGGGCTGCTTGCTCGCTTTCGAGACGGCGCATGAATTGCTGTTTCTCTTGTTCGAGCTTGTCGAGCATTTTCTCAAGTTGCACATCTCGGTCTTTGATGGCTTGTTCTTTCTCTTCGCGGATGGAGTTGAGTTGGGCTTGGTGTTGTTCTCGTAGCTTGTTGAGTTCCTCGTTGAGAGCTTCACCTGCCGTGGTTTGGTCGACTCCTAGACCTTGCTCTACGATCTCTTCTTGGATCTGCAGAGTTACGGCAGGGAGGTCAACTAGCTCGTTGACAATCTCAAGAGCAGACTCTCTTGTGTTCTGGAATCGTCGAATTCTCGAGCCTTTGTTGCTCATATATCCCCACCATTCAGGAGTTGAGATCAGCTCATGCTCTCTCGCAGCTCCCTTTGACTCATCCTGTAGCTCATCCCAGAAAGTAGTCGCAAGGATAACATTCTCAAAGGCACCATCACCGCAAAGATTGCGGAACATAGTGAGGTTTCGCATGATGGCGTTGGTCATTCTCTCATCTTTGATGCGGTGCAGGTAAATGATCCCGCTGAGCTTGACGTTGTTCATGTACGAAGAGCTGAGGGCTTGAGCGACATCGGCAAGAATGTCAGCATCGCCTCGGTACGTGTCATCAAAGCCAGGAGTGTCGAAAAAGACAAACTGCTGGCCCCGGATGAGGCACTCGTAGGCTTCCGTTTTCTGCGTGCCTATTGGTGGTTAATGTTCGTTCACCATCCACAGAGTCTAGTGTTGACTTACATGATCCAAGTGAATGTCCGACTTGGGGCCCATCTTCATCGTCTCTGCCAGTCAAGAGCCGAAGAAAGTTACTCTTTCCAGAGCCAGTCACTCCCATCACCGCAATCAATAGCACTGGCGGAGGGACGTCCGACTCATCGCTTACCGATGTGTCTGTTCCCACTGACGGAGCTTCTGGCAAAGACTGCGCAACTTTGGTCATGATGAAAACTGACAGGGGTCTCAATAAGCGTGATGCACTAATTTACAGCTGCAAGTCTAGACTTAAGAGTGAGAGAATGTCTCTTGATAAATACAACAAGGCGGACTAGACACGTTCACTTTATGCCGACATATCCGGTGCTGTAACACCCAAAATCAAGCTTAACATCGCATGAGGGGCAATTCACACTTTATTCGTCAACGATAAGCACTAGCTTTACAAAACGACAGTTCTATTTCAACCTACACGCTGCAGCAAACCTGCCTAGGGGAGGAAAGAAAACTCAGGACCTTGACCCTAAGCGATAAAAATGCTTAGGTAAATCCAGCCTAAACTTAGGAAAATCTTTGCCAAGTTTATTTTGACACCCTACATGAAGGTCCTGGGTTTTCTTTCCTCCCCAGGCACTAGCTTCACAAAACGACCGTTCGACTTCAACCTCCACGCTACAGCAAAACCTGCCTTTCAAGCTGAACACCCAAAAAGTGATATAAATCACTAGTCCCGCGCCACCATCCACTAAGGCCCTGCATCTTCCCAGTTAGACACCCAAACCTGCGCAAGCGACCAGACAATGCCTCGCCCGCGATTCTCAGATTCCACTGGCTCCGAGACAATCCGCGGGCGCACTACCACACAAATCGGGCGATTGTCGAACCGCTTATCACCTTTCAAGAGACCAACTGTTGGGTGGGCCTCCATATCGCCAAGCATGCTCTGGAACCGATGGAGGGTTGCATCGCCTAGCGCCTCGACGCGGATATTGGTTCTTAGCTTCCAGAGTCTTAGCGCAAGGCTGCATGTGGTCGCAAAAAGCTTGGTCAGTTGCGTGAGGCTTTCTCTGTCGAGGGGCTCGATGAGGGGTTCGTAGGTCCTTGCGAAAGCTTCGGCATATGCTTGCATTGCTTGGTTGTGTGGAGGGAATGCTTGCTCTAGGTACTGGCAAGTCTGGATCCTCCACGTCACAGTGGCTTCTGTGCTGGCGCCTGAGATTGTGTCAGTTTGCCTTGTTGCCTGGATGTGAAGTGTACAAACCTCCTTGCAGGGCTGTTTTGTTCAAGTAATGCTGGCCAAGGAAAAATGGGTTTTCGAGAAAGGTCTGCATGAGCGTCTTGGTTAGTGAAGCCTGTAGCAACACCGCTGTAGCTGTTCTGTGCGTCACGTCGAATCTTAGATGCTCCTCGCAATCTGGATCGTTCATGATGCCTTGAGTAAGCATGAGGTTTCGTGTCTCTTCCACACTTTCGATCAGCGGCAAGCGATTGTCTATACACCACTCAGAGCACTTCTCAAACAGGTCCTGTAGTTCAGTTCGAACCTGGTCGTCAGGAAAGTCGCTTGAAACATGGCCAGCCAGCAGTGATATAGCCCTCGAATGGGCCTCAGTAACCACAACCTCTTGGTTCTGGATATCCTGTCTCAGAGTCTTGTTCACATCTCTTTCCTCGTCAAGCTCGGTTTCAAGGTCTTTTTTTGTCTGCTTGAGCTTTTTATAGTCATCAAACAAGCGATCGTAAGCTCCTTGTGCTTTCCTGAGTTCCTCTCCTCGTTTGCGCCAGTGCTCATCGGACTCGGTTTTCCAATCTTCCCATTGCTTGATGCGACGCTTTTTGCCGTCAAGATCGTTGGTTTGTAAATTGAACTTGATTGTCAAATTATTGAGACTCGTGCTCAGAGAAATCTTCTCAGTTCGTAACTGGGTTACTTCCTTCTGAAGTTTCTTTTCTCTTGAGGTTTCTAATTTGTGGCTCGGCTTCTTCTCATTCACTCTCTCGGGAACTGCAGAAGGCTCTGAGGCGCCGAAAGGGTTCAGGGACTGGGTGATACGCCCAATCACCCCAGGGTTTTGCTTGAGGGCCTCTGAGTATGTCTCCACGATTCATGGTGCATTACTTGTTGACTTACCTTGGGTTGATGCTCAGACGCTTTCACAGTCTCAAAGACATCAGTCATGGTCGCGTCTGCTGGAGGATAATATCTCGGCTTCTTGTCCTCGGTCTTGGAATATCTCGGCTGCTGCAATTTAGTCAGAGGATCACTGTGGGTTCCAAAATTGAATACCTCTTCATAGGGCCCCTCATCCTCACTCTTTGGTCGGAGTTGGTCGCCGATGTTCTTCAGAGCTCCACCAGAGTCATCGTCTCCAGACTGTCGCTCAGATTCTCCGCCCATTGTGATGCTGTCAAAATGCGGTATTGATTGAATGGCGCAACGATACGATTATCCCGGACTCAATTAACAAAAGCACTATTTATAACCCAAAATGGGCATCCCGCCGCAGGAGCTCAATCGTTTGGCTTCCCCCTCCATCACCCTCCCTGTAAACCTTAGCCTTTCAACCGTGATAGTGGCTGCATATGCAAGGCCGAGCCCCCGACAAAACGCCAGACCACCACACGGCAAAACGCCCGTGCATTTCAACCACCCCTGTAAGGCATACTGAGATCAGCCGCAAACTTGGCGAACTGTTTAAGCTGGCGCCCTGAGCCAGGTGGCCATTTGAACACGATGTAAGTCATTTTATCAAGATAGCAGAGCCTCAGTGAAGTGAACTACAGTTCTTTTCCACGTCGCAATTAAGACCACAAGCAGGAATACGTTCATCAATCATGCTGGCTGTAAGAAATAGGACGAAGCTGATAGTCGGCATCGACTACGGTACAACGTATTCAGGTCAGCACACTGTAACTCAATGACGAACCCCCGCGGCTAATCTTCTCAACACCAGGTCTTAGTTTTGCGCTCTCCAATGCCGCAGACTTCAAAGACATTCATCCATGGACAAAATACCCCGGCTCGTCAACTCACATCGCAGAACACTGCCACAAAGCTCCATCATGGGTTGCCTTCAAAGATGAGAATCCTGATCTCGACGAGAACGCATGGGGCTATCAAATCGAACCTGGTATGAAGACTTACGCATGGACAAAGCTCCTCCTCGATGATCAAGCACTCGCGACAGAGTATGATGATCCTGATCTTAACAAGGCCGCTGGAAATGGCCTTATGAGATTACCAGCTGGCAGAACTGCCAAAGACGTGGTTACCGAGTATCTGAAGGGTATGCATTCTATGTATAAGAAAGCTGTTATTGAGAAGATTGGGGAGGATATCCTTGAGGAGATGCCTGTTGACTTTTGGTTGACTGTTCCAGCGACTTGGACGGAGAGAGCGAAGCTTATAACTAGAGCTGCAGCTTTGGACGCTGGATTTGCGTCGAGACCTATTGATCGTTTGAGCTTGATCACAGAACCAGACGCGGCTGCGCATATGGCTTTGAAGTCCAGTATTCATCACGTCGAAGATCTTATTGATGTAGGTAGCACCATCTCACTTTTTGAGTTCATACTTACACCGCGCTTAGGTTGGCACGGGCGTGATGGTTTGTGATCTTGGTGGTGGTACTGTCGTAAGTTCAACATTACTCAAGGCCCTGTGTCTTGCTAAGGAGGCCAGGACATTACAACATCAGAGATAGTCAGAAAGTCACCTTCTCTAAAGCTGAGGGAGATTGCCATCGGAGCAGGTAAAATGTCCGGATCCGCAAATGGAACGATCATACTCACA